GGGAGCAGCAGGAAGCTGACCAAGGTGCAGGAACGAACCGTCCCGACCATGCCCCAACAGGCCAGCCCGGCCCCCCGTAACCCACCTCCCGAAACAGACTGTGGGGCTGACCAGAATGACCTCGCCCCAAGAGCAGCCAGGTGGGGGACCAACCTGAAGTAGCCCACCTGCCCTGACGGCAGCGGGGAGGGGCGGGAGGGCTGGGGCAGGTCTCCGGAGGGGCTCTGAGAGGACCTGGCGGGGGGGCTTGTTCCTGATGCCCCCCCACCCTCAGGAGCCGCTTCTGGGACCCCGCAGGGTGGGGGTGCCCAACGCTTTTTGATTTACGAGCCCCACGCCCCAAGCGGTCCCATAAATTTGGGGGCCGTTTTCACCAAAACTGTGAGTTACGATTTTTCAAATAAATACATTTTCCAATTAGTCGGGGTTGTGTTTAGGTTGAGCGCGTCCGCCGCAGACATCTTTCTTCGCGGAAAATACACAGAGGAGGAAGCGGAGCCGGGAGGAAACTCAGACGACATAAAAACTTGTGTAAACACGTTGTCATCCTCGGACTTCGGAAGAGAGGGGAACGGAGGGAGGAAAGTGTCTACTCCCCCTGGAGGGCTCGGGTCCCAGCCCAGGGGAAGACGAGGACAAGCTAATGTTCTTTTCCCAGACTGTGATTTACGTCCCGGCGAGAGGACGGGCAGGGGGAAGCTCACCCTGAGTAGGTTTTGGGATGCTGAGGCTCTGACAGACCTAGGAGTGGCCGGGGCTGCTCCCCCCACCCACCCCCGTCCCCCAACACACAAGCGCACCCTCTGGCCAAGCGTTTCTTTAGGAAAGTGCGTGGGGGGCAGAGAAACCAAAACGGACTATTTTAGGCAGCAAAGGGGCTTCCACTTCCAGCCCGTTCTGGGGGGGGGTCGGGGTGGGGCAAGCCACTGCAGAGCGGGCTTTGTTTGTTGACCTGTAAAATAAGGGGACCCGACCGGAATTCAGAGACCCCGCTGTGCCCAGGAGCACACGCACGATTCTGTGCATAACGCAGGGAGCACCTGAGCTGCAAGGCAGAGGAGGTCACAGTGGCCCGACCCTCCAGGGCCCGATCACCCCTCACGTAGGCACAGGGGGAGCTGAGGGCCCCCCAGGTGTCTGCATCGTGGGCTGTGCGCCCCACGGAAGCCCTTCCCTCCCTGGGCCGGGCGCTATGTACAAAAGTCCGTCCTACCAGGGCCTCTCGGGAGACTTGCTACTCCCCACACCCGCCAAGGGGAGAGCCCTCGTGCGCCGGCTCCAGGGGGAAACGCAGCCGCTCTAGGCCTTCCCGGCCCCTGAGGTTCCCTGGCCTACGGGGAGCAGACTGGGTCCGACTGGAAAGCTCTCAAATCTGTAGATGCGGCGGAGAAATGTTTAGGGGATTCGGGCGCCGAAGCTGCGGGTAAATGGCCGGAGGGCTGATTTATGGCACGGTGCGGCGGGACGCGATTCTCCAAGACAGGAGAATATTTTACACCGCGCTAATATAAACAGGCGGCCGGCCGGGCCCTTTTTATGGAGTTCCTGTAATTACCCGGCCCTGACAGGCCCTGATTTACTGCCCTATTTAGATAAGCGGTCGGTGCGGGGACTGCCGGTGGCGTCAAGGTCACGGGGCGCGGCGGGCGCAGGCTTGCGGTGGGCGCCCTGCGCGGCTCCGGCTCTGCAGCGGGGAGCAGAGGTGTGGGGCGAGGCAGCGCCGACCCGGCCCGTTAGGAAACTGCGGCTTCTGAGTTCAGGGGTCCACTGCACAGACTAGGAGCTGAGCCCCCCAAACCTCGCGGGGAAGGCTGGAACGCCCCCAAACCTCTCGGTTGGGAGGGAGATGGGGGTGGGTGGGTGTGCAAGTGAAATTCAGACCTTTGGCCGCATAGCCCCAGCTCAGGGGAGGGCCCCCCACCTCCCACATTAACCAGCGGGGGCTCTGTAGGGGAGCAGGGGCAAGAGGTCAGGAAAGGGAGAGGACAGGGCTGTCAGATGAGGGGAACCGAGTGGGAAAGGGGTTACCTGCTTCCTGTGCCACGCGACCCAGTAGTGTGAATGCTGCGACCCCGTTTCTTCCCCTGTGAAGCTCAGGCCCCTTATCTAGTGCTACTGGAACTGACCAGCTCTCCTGGGGTGTTTACTGCCCCCCGGTTTGCAGAGGAGGGGAAGACAGGAAGGCCCCGCGGATGGAGTGGCAGGGAGGGCTCAACCACAGTCCCCCAGGCTCCTTGCAGGTTCCTTTCACACAACTCCGGATCTTTGTGCCTCCCTCACCCCACTGGGGGCAGCGGAGAGGCTTGAAAGGCTCCCCAGACGCCTGCGGCACTCGGCACTCGCTGGCTGCTGAGCACTCCCTGCTGAGGGAAAGTGCCTGGAGCCAGAGCTGGTCCCTGTCTGAGGTGCAGGCTGGAGCCTCGAGTCCTCCCACCGGCCCCGGAGGCAGGTGCTGGGTGGGCCTTCCTTCTTGGGGCACAGCTGCTGGCCAGGGGCTGGCAGAGCCAGACTCAGGGACACCCTGGCTTCCCAGCCTAAAGCAACTGCAGCTGGACTCCAGGGCCCGCCTCTGGTCAGCAGACCTGGTCCTCCTGTCCCTGCACTCCCAGGGCCCCCAGTCGGGCTAGAGTTAAAAGCATATTGGGGTCTCCCAGAAGATGGGTCCTGGAGCCTGGGCAGCCTCCCTGCCTTCAGTCCTGCTGCCCAGCCTGGAACCCCAAGGCTCCTAGGGCGCTCCCCATGCAGGAGGGGCGCTGCTCCCAGGGCGACTTCTAGCTCCCTGGAATGGGGGTGGGAACAGAACTTTCCTGAGGTCCGGGTGTCTGGGAGCACCCCCCTCTCCTTCAGTCCTTCAGTCCCCCAGGGAGACTGCCTGGCCATGAGAGCCCCCCAGGGACCAGGACAGGCACCCGGGACTGACAATGCACTCCCCACCGTGAGCGGGTTCAGAGCTGGGAACGCATTTCGGGAACTGCAAGAAAACAGACTGGTCTGGTGGGCCATGAGGACCGTGTGGGCAGGAGCCGGCTCCGTGCTGGGGTGATGGTGCCCCAGTATCCCGAGTGCACGTGTCGCCTGGGGGCCGCATGTCTGTCCTGGTTGCTACGTGAACACACACTTTCGTGTGTGCTGTGCGTCCCCAGGAGCCCATGTGCACAGACTCACAGGCACAGACACACAGGCCCGTGCGTGTGTGACGCCACCGTGTGTATCTGTGAGTCCCGCCGCGGCCGGGGTGAAGACCTCCCCCGGCAGGACGAGGCTGGTGTGCGCGGAAGGCTGAGGCCCCAGGCCACAGGGTAATGAGCCCTTCTACCCGCACACCCTCTTTTAAGAGCGCCTGGGCCAGCCATGAGGCGCGAGACCCCGCGGAGCCGCAGCTGCACCGGCGCTGGCTCCCTCCCTGCGAGCCTCCGGCTCCCGACCCAACCCCAGCGCCGCTGGCGCCAGGCGCCCGGGAGAGCGGCGGCTCCCAGCTCGCCCCAGGCAGGCACAGGACCTCGTCCCTGCCTTGCACCTCGGGCCGCCAGCCCACAGGGGACCGGCCTGGGGACCCCGAAGATCCCCTCACTCCCTCAGGACCCCCCTGGCGCGAACTCCCTCGCCCACCACCCCAGCAGGAGACGCGAGGAGAGCCCCGTGCCTCCCCAGCCCGGGTCTCCCCACCACGAGGGGAGCCACATCTGGCCGCGCCTTCCCAGGGGTGCCAAGCACCCGCGTGGCAGAGGACGCTGTGGGCTGAATGGATGAAGGGGCTCCCTGGCCCCCTGAAGAGCTGCCCTTTGCGTCACCCTCCCCTCCCTGAGCCAGGACACAGCACCAGGGAAGGGGGTGGACGGGATGCGGGGCCAGATGTGCGGGCCTCTGCGTGGAAGCTGCCACCCCGAGGCATCTGAGTCCGGCCAGAGGAGCCGCCAGCAGGCCGGGTATCCCGCTCTCGCCAGCCAGGGGGCCTGCGGCGAGGCCCACAGCCGCCACCCCACAGCCGCCACCCCACAGCGACCGGCCAGCGGAGATAAGGGCCCGGCACCCCCCGGGGTGGAGAGAGTCTCCTCTGGGTGTTTTCGGCCAAACGCTGGTTCCCCGGGGAGGGGAGCTTTGGTGCTGGGGTCTTCAGAGAACCGAATATTCGAATATTCGCCAGGGGATGACCCAGGCCCCTTGCGGGAGGGAGAAGCGCCTCGCAGGCCCCAGGGGCAGCTGCAACCAGGGAAGGCCCGTGGGCTGGCGGCCGCATCCCTCCACCCTCCCACACAGGACAGGCCATGCGACAGAGCGCGGCCGCCACCCCCAGGCAGTGGGCGCTGGACATCTCGGGGCTCCCCGAGGGCCGAGGCCTGGGCGTCGGAGGGTGTTGGGGGGGCCCTGACAGCCCTGGGCAGCCCAGCAGCGCCCTGGAATCTGGCCGGGGCCCGGGCAGAGGTGCGGTTCTGCGACAGGAGCCCCGGAAAGTCCCATTTCTAACTCCGGAGAGTCGAGAAACAGGAACCCGCTTCCCGCGCCTCGGTTTCCCCATCTGTAAAGTCAAGGGGGCTCTAGGGAAAGGCCGTCTTTTCCCTCCACTGCAGATTCCTTCCTTGAGCGGAGGGGATGGGCGGCGGCCTTGGGGGGCCCTTCGCCCCACTAGGGCCCGCCTGCCGGGAACCGGAGGGGCGGGGGCGAGGGGCGGGGGCGGCCTCCTGTCCCCGCGGGCGGCCTGCAGGGGAGCGGCCGACGGAGCTTCAAATCTGGGCCGGCCCCCCCTCCCGCCCCCCGCCATTGGCTCCGGAGGGAGGCTGACATCAAAGCCCGTCCTTATATAGGCCGGGCCGCCGGGGAGGCCGCACAGGGTTCAACGGGTCTCCGCGGAGTCCTGCCCGCGACGCGCGCCCACCCCAGCCCCACCCTCGCCTCGGGCCCTCGGAGCCGGCGCGGCAGCGCCCGAGCCGCGGGTGGCCCCGGTGGCCGGGGCGCATGGGGCGGCGCTAGTCGGGCTGCGGCGCAGGCCGGGCCGCGCCAACATGAACCTCGTGGGCGGCTACGCGCACCACCACCACCACCACCACCCCGCGCACCCCGCGCACCCCATGCTGCACGAGCCCTTCCTCTTCGGCCCGGCCGCGCGCTGCCACCCCGAGCGGCCCTACTTCCAGAGCTGGCTGCTGGGGCCCGCCGACGCGCCCCGGACTTCCCGGCCGGCGGGCCGCCCCCGCCGCCGCCTACGGCCCCGACGCGCGGCCGGGCCAGAGCCCGGGGCGGCTGGAGGCCCTGGGGGGGCGGCTGGGCCGGCGGAAGGGCTCGGGCCCAAGAAGGAGCGGAGGCGCACGGAGAGCATCAACAGCGCGTTCGCCGAGCTGCGCGAGTGCATCCCCAACGTGCCGGCCGACACCAAGCTCTCCAAGATCAAGACGCTGCGCCTGGCCACCAGCTACATCGCCTACCTGATGGACGTGCTGGCCAAGGACGCGCAGGCCGGCGACCCCGAGGCGTTCAAGGCCGAGCTCAAGAAGGCGGATGGCGGCCGCGAGAGCAAGCGGAAAAGGGAGCTGGTGAGTGCGGGGCCGCTGCGCCCCAGTCCCGGGCGTGGGCTCCGAGGTGGGGGCGCGGGGCGCAGGGGGGCAGGCGCGGGCTGTGAGCCGGCTGCCAGGCTGCGAGGAGGGGCTGTGCCTGGAGGAGGCGCGTCCCGGCCGAATTCGTTTTGACTGCGGGGAGTGCTCGGGTGCTCGGAAGCCCAGGGGGGACGCATCGTCCTGTTTGCAGAGAGAGCCGCGGGGTCCTCCTAAAGAACCACTGGAAACGTCAGACTCGAAAACAGACGTTTCCAATTTCCAGGGTCCCGGCCCCTCCTGGAAGCCAGGGCCAGGACGCCTGGTGCCGACACGCAGACAGGCCGTGGTCAGTTTCCAAGGCCTCCTGGGAGAGGCCGGTCTATTCCCATCCCTGTGCAGGAGGGAAACCGAGGCACGGACCAAGGCAGTCCGAGGCGGGGCGGGTGGCGCAGCAGTCCTTCCCTTCCAGCTCACAGCAGCCCCGCCGCCCTCGGGATCCGGGTGACCTTGACGGCTGTGTCTCAGCTGCCACCCGCTGCGCTGTGCAGATCGGTTCCTGCACCTTTTTCTCTGTCCACTCTGGGGAGGGCGACCCTTTCTGGCGCTGGGTCCCAGCAGGCCAGAGATCCCAGACCTCCAGGCATGAGTTCCAGGCTGAGCAGCTGGTTCTTTGGACTGGGCGCTCAGACCCACCCCGCCTGGGAGCCACTACCCAGCCCTGCCAGGTCTACCTGCCCTGCAGCGGATTGTGGCAGAGTAGCGGGCGCTCGCTGAGGAGGCTGGGAAGAGATAGGCATCTGTCCAAAAGATGCAGGCGCTGGCGGCGCCTGGGGCAGTAGTAATTGGGCTGTGCCATCCCCTGCACGTCGCCACCTCCTCCGAGAAGGGCCGGTTCCAGTGGAGAAAGCGGTGGGGGAAGCAGGCCAGGCAGGCGCCCCTCTCCTGCGGGGCCCCTGAAGCTCCCAGCTCCTGCTCTAGGGACCCCGGCACGGATGCCGGGCTGGATTGGAGAGCTGGTGGGGTGGGGGGCAGGTCCGCAGGAATGAGAAGGCTCACCCCCATTCCGACCTCTGCGGCCTCCCTTCAGGGTCACAAAGCCGCAAAGCCACACCCGGGCGCGGCGGTTTCGCCAGGCAGAGCCCCCTCGCTGCACCAGCGTCCGCCCTGCCAGGCGACTGCGGCAAAACCACACATTTATGAGCCCGTTTGCTTATTTCACAAGCAGCAATCCCTCGCTCACCTCCAGGCTCCCCGTCACCGCGCCCCCCACCGCCCCACCCCCGCCGCCCGGGGCAGAAAACTCTAAATCTGACTCTCTTCTCTCCCGGCGTCCTGTCCCCCGGCAGCAGCAGCACGAAGGCTTCCCTCCTGCCCTGGGCCCGGGCGAGAAGAGGATTAAGGGGCGCACAGGCTGGCCGCAGCAAGTCTGGGCGCTGGAGTTAAACCAGTGAGCGGCGGCCCGCAGGACCTGCCCGGCCGCGACCTGGAGTCCGGGGAGGAGAGGAGGCGGCGGGGCCCGCCTGGGGCCGGCGTGGCGGGAGGGCCTGGGCAGGCCGCGGCCGCAGCGACAGCCTCGGATCACACGTGCAATGTCCCTTGAGATTTTTTAAAAACCTTATGAGAAAGAGAAATATATATGTACCCCCCGCGCCCCCGCCCAGGGCAGTTCTTGGGGGCCCCACGAGGGAGGCCGGGCGGCCCGGCCCGCGCCCTGCACCCTTCCCACCCCTGTGGGGCGAACTGCCCGCGCCCGCGCCCGGCCGACTGCTACGGGGCTCTTTCTCTGCAGCTCCCCCACCTCCGCTCCCCCCCAGCCCGCGCGCTGCCGCCCTGGAGGCCGGGCCAGGGGCCCTTGGGGCCGGGCAGAGTGAGCCAGGCCCGGGGAGCAGGCGCCGCCGCTGCTCGCGCTTCAGCGGTGCTGGCGACTTTATTTTATTTTATTTTATTGTTTGTTGCTGCACTTCCTACTTCGTTTCAAGGGAAACTCCTCTCTTTTCTGTTTTCTTCCTTCCTTTGTAAAGAAAAACTTCCTTCTGTGGGAAAGTTTTTATGTATTTAAACTACCTAGTGCGCCTGCTGCGCCAGGTGCCGCCGCGTCCCCTCCCGGCTCTACCTCAGTCTCCAGCCCCTCGCCCCTGCCCCGCCGGCCTTGTCTGTGCTCTTGACTAATAAAGCGTTTTCTGGGATCAGAGGCGCCTGTGTTCTGTCTTGGGGGCGCCCCTGGGCTCCGACCTTCGTTTCTGCGGAGTGAAGCCCCCGCTCCTGCCTGGCTCTTGCTCAGAGCCGCCGCCAACGGCGAATCAGGTCGAGGTAAGAGGGCAGAGGCCGGTCAGTCCCGGGGTGCAGCGCCCCGGCAGGCAGAGGTGGGGCCGCAGGAGGGAGGGAGCCCCGGAGGCCGCTCTGCTCGGGGGCGTCGGCCTCGGCTCTGCCTCCAGGCTGGCGGCGGGCGGTGCGCGCTGGGGGTCTGTCCGCGGTGACCTGGGCTCTAGGGGAGGCGCCGGCACCAGCCAGCACCCCGAGGGCAGGGAGTGGGGTGCAGTGGGGCAGTGAACGTGCAATTCTGGACGCAAAGGGAGGGAGGCAGGGGGTAGGGGCGAGAGGCGCCGCCGGGAGCGCGGGCCGGAGGCGGCGAGGGCCGTGCGCCCAGCCTGCCCGCGAGTTCGGTCCCCGCCGGGCTCGGAGCGCTCGCGCGCTGGGGGCACCCGCGGGCCTGGGGCTGCCCCGGCGCTCGGCGGACGCTCGGGGCGCGCGGGGACCTGAGCGCGGGGCTGGGCTCCGCGGCCCGAGGGGGCTCCACGCCGCGCCCGGGCGAGCGCCCCGACGGCTCGCCCCCGCCCCGCGCCCCGGGGCGCGCCCTGGCCGGGCGGGGCGGGCGGGGCGGGCGCTTTGTGGCGGCGCAGCCGGAGCCCGAGGCCCGCGCGGGCGGGGAAGGCGGCCCGGAGCTGCCGAGGGGCCCGGCGGGGCCCGACGCCTCGCGCCGACGGGGTGAATACGGGGCCCCATTAGTCTCGGCTGTAAACACCGGGGCAGGAGCCGAGCGGCCGCTCGGGCCTTTCCGGACGCGAAGGAGTTAATAAAAGGTGTTTTACGGGCGGGGGGCGGCGGGGAGGTGTGAGCCCCTCCGCTCGCCCCGCCGCCCCCGCCCGCGCGGGATCAAACGCGCCGGCGCTTTAACGAGCGCAGCGCCTCGCGGTAATGAGCGCCCGCCCGCCCGCCCCGCGGAGGAGCCGGCAGGAAAATCGGGGTCTTTCTCCCCCTTGCTGTTCTTCCCCGGGCCCGGGAAGCCCCTTAGCCGTCCCGGCACGCGCGGGGAGCGGGGGCGCGGGGGCGCGCGCGGGAGGCGCCCCAGGGCGGACGCGGGTCCCTGGGACTCGAACTCAGGACTCCGCGGTGCGGACCCTCCCGGGGCTGCTCGCCCGGGGCTATTTTTAGCGCGGCCAAGTATCCCTGGCATGGAGGGAATGCGCACCCCGCCTGCGCCTCGGCACGGGGTGCCCTGGGCGGCCCCCCTGGCCAGCTGGGCCCCAAGCCCTCCCTGGGAACACGGGGATGGGGGCCCTGCCACGTGCGTCCGGACCTCGCAGCCGCGGGAGGAGCCGGGCCGGCTGGACCCGAGGAGGGGTCGGTGGGGTCCGCAGGCTCACCCGCCCAGGCCTTCCCGGGGATCCCCCGTGTCCCGGCCATCTCCAGCCCCACCTCACTCGCCAGCTGGGGCCCAGGCCCCTGGAGGAGCGGCTGCTCCAGACTGAGCAGTCTGCGGGGCTCTCCTCTGCTCCCCTTTGCTCCCCTCTGCTCCCCGGCGCCCGGGCCTCTGCCCTAAAAATACCCTCGGAGCCGGCGGGTTCTTCCCGCGCCGGCAGACACGGTTACTCTCATTTTTAAGTGAAGGGCATCGCCCTCCCTGCAGCCCGGGACGCAGGAAGGAAGAATCAAGAGCGTGAAAGTAAACCCGGGAGTTTATCCATCGTAGGGAGATCCCGGGGCGTCGCGCCCCAGGCCGGTGTGAGGTGTGAGGGCCGAGCTGTCCTGAGCGCCCTGACCCAGCCGCCCCGGGCTGGGGGCTGCGCCAGGGAGGGCTCAGCGCGGGCAGCACCGGCGCTGCTGCTTGGAGAAACCCTCAGCCCCCAGGAACACAGGGCGATGGAGCTGGAGGTCGTGCGTGAAGCCTCAGTGGGCGGGGCGGGTCCCGCCTGGGTCACCAAGGCTGCGCCCGGCTTGTGCGAGGAAGTAGAGGCCCGGGCGGGGCACACCGGGGAGTCCCCACCTCTGCCGGGCGCGGGGCTGAGAAAGCTTCGGCTTCTCCTGCTTAGCTCTGTTTTTCTGTATTTTCCAATAATGAATCAGTCTTACATTTGTATAAAAATGAAGCTGTGATGCCCCCCGCGCGGGGTGTCTGGTTTACTGGGCAGAGTGGACTGAACCCCACTGCTAGGCCCGCGGGCAGGATGGGGCTGGCACGGGGGTGGGGGTCAAGGGGGTCCTCGAAGCCCCACTGTCTCCGCACAGCCTAGAGGATGCCCAGAGGTGGACCCAGAGGTGGACCCCAGGCTGAGCCGGGAGGTGAAGGCCGTGCTTCAAGGGCAAGGTGTCCGGGCGGCCAGGTCTGGCTGCGGGCTCAAGGCAGTGACCCCGGGGCTGCTTCCCCCCCCCCCCAGGCCCGGAGTCAGGGAGAGGCGGAAAGAAGGGGCTAGGGAAGGGGCCCGGGGCCAGCTCAGCTGGGACCTTCTTCCATGCTCTGGGCTCCGTGGATCCAGCCATTCCTGGAGCCACATTCCTGACAGTGATGGGGGCTCGGGGACCCCCCCTTTCTGTGGGTGACCCCTGAGCCTGCCAGGCCTCAGCAGCCCCTGGTACTTTCGCTTCTAGAAGCACGTTTTTCTCTCTAGCAACCAGGGCAGGAGCTGAGGCAGGAAGTGATGGTTCCGCCGAGGGAGAAGGGAAGCCGCGGGGAGGGGTGAGCAGCCCAGGCCGAGCGGGTGCCGGGCCTTCAGCGCCCTCGGAGAGCGCCCCTCCCCAGGCGCGGTCTTGCCCGATATCCTCATGGCAGAGCTGAAACCCAGAAGTCAGCCAGCCCCCTTTCTAAATGAGTCACTTTGGTAAGAAAAAAATACGCAGGTTTGAAATATGCAGCCTCCCGATGGAAACCTATTTTGTTTGAAGAAAAAAAACCTTTTTTTTTCAGCCAAGAGTTTTTACAGCTGAGCTCTCCCAAACTCATAAAGACCAAGGCGCATACGGGAACCAGGGAGACTTAACCACGGTGCGCGGCGCCTGCTGCAAGCAGACGTCGGCCTGACGTGCGGCTCCTACAGATGTTAGCCAAGCAACAGGAACAGGCACAGCCCGCGCGGAAGGCGCAGGGAGGGCATCGCGCCCAAGTCCAGTGTGACCACGGAGCTGTCCTGAGCACCCATGACATGGGCCGCGAAGACCATCCCGCGGCCACGCCTTTCCCTCATTTTCTAAAGGGGAAACTGAGGCCCGCAGAGGGAGGGGCTGGCCCAAGGTGGGGAGCTGCCTTCCTCCTCTTCCTTTGTCTCCTTCTGGTGCCATTGTGGAGGCTGCAGGGAGGGGCCTGGGCAGCTGCTGCCCCTCCCTGAGGCCTGGCTCCTCCTCTGCGACCCAGGCCTGCCCCTGAGTCCAGCAGGCCCTGCGAGGTAGAGGTAGGCGCTGAGCCCTGAGAGCTACGCTCACTATTTCGCCTCACTCCGGCTTTGGCAGCCAGGGGCACCGGGTGGGGTACCGGGTGGGCTGGCTTGCCGAGTTTAGAAGACGGGGCGTATTCCTGACAGGCGTGGAGGCCGCTGGGACTGGCCGAAGGGCACCCAGCCAGAGCGCCGGCTCCGCCCAGGCCTAAACATCGAGGGAAACTGAGGACAGGCAGGTTGCCGAGGTGGAATTTCCGAAACCATGGGGGCAGCACTTCCAGAAAGAAGTGCCCCGCCAGCTGCAAAGCCCACCGGGCGCAAGGAAAGTCCCCAGAAGCCACATTCAAAAAGACAGAGCAAAGAGAATGAATTGGAGGCGTGTAATGAACTCAGGACATCTGAAGCGCAGTTTCGACCTGGAGTCAAGGTCAACGCTGTGAAGGGGAGAGTTTACATGCCGCTCTCCATGCCAGGCTTTGGAGGCTGGGGTGTCCCATGGGTCAGCCCCCCCGTCAGGATCCATGTCACGCGTTCAGTGGCGTGCGTGGCCACTGGACACCCGGCCAGACGGTGCAGGTCCAGACCCAAGTGACAGGAACACTAACACTTCCTGCGCACCCGGCTGCTGCCGCCATCCCCTGGAGGGTGCGTGGCGCCCCCCCCTCCCAGCCAGGGAACCCCACGCAGCTGAGTCCTGCCGACCCCAGAGCAGCCGCGCCGCGGGCCTGTGCCGGGGGCTCTGGCCTTGCGTCTCTCCGGGCGGGCAGAGCGCGGGCTCTGGAGGGCCTCAGGCCGGTCGTGCTCCGGCCCGGTCCCCACCGCCTTCCCCCCTGCAGAGGCGTCAGGCGGAGTGTTTGGCAGCAGAGAACAGAGCGCGAGAGGCTGGCCAAGGTCACCAGGGAGGTCCGGACGGCCAGACTGGACTCGCAGCCGGGCGAGCTGGTGGGCTGAGCCGTGTGGCGGGGGCAGTTCCTGAACCTCTGAACCCCAGAGGCGTGTTCTGTGAAGGGGGAGCCTCAAGTCAAGGGCAGGGACAACTGGGAGCCGCAGCCCTTTCTCTGCTGTGCGCGGGGCACTGGCCGCAGGGCTCCCCAGACCCCAGGCCTGGCTCTTGGCTTGGGGTGGCCGGCTGGCACGCAAGGGTGGGGGTGGCCGGTGCTCCCGGAGCTGGTCCAGCCTGTGGTGTGACCTGGGAGCCTCCTTGCCCCGCTCGGCCTGTGTCACCTGTGACACGAGGGGGTGGGCGAGAGCCCGAGTCCCTCCCTGCTCGGATAGTGCGGGATGTCCAGGAGGGCCGGACCCCAGCCTGGCCCTGGCCTCCGGGGGTCAGAGCCTCCCCTCCCCTGTGGCCTGGGGCCGCCAGCTGGGGGAGGGCGCCACCTGGTGGCAACGCTCCCTCCTCGCACCCAGCAGACCTGGAGCCCCACGGACCCTTTTCTACCACCCCCGGCAGTTCCTGGAGAGGCCCCCCAAGTTTCATCGGCCCCATCAAATCCCGCAGGTGACCTGCCACCTCCGCCTCCGCCCGCTGCAGCTCCAGCCCGCCCCGGGCGCTCCGGGCCGGCTAGGGCGGGGGACGCCTCCCGACTCCACTGGGCCCGTGCGGTCCCCGGCCAGAGTCGGGGCGCCGTCCGGGAAGCGAGTCCAGTTGGTCAGGACAAGGTGGCCTCGTGGCCGCGGTGCTTGAGGCCTGGCAGAAGCCCCGGATTCCTGGACAGCCGAGCCTGGGACCTGCCCGGGCGGGCGCCAGCTCCCGTGTCTGGGTCCAGGCCCTCACCCGCCGGCTGTGGCCCGGAGCGGACGGCCCCACTGCGGCCCGACACCGCAGGGACCCCGCGGGCCTCGCTCTGCCGCCACCAAGCTGCTGTTGCTGCGGCCGTGGCGGGAGGAGCGGGTCAGGGAAGCGCGGGCTCCGCACGGGGCCGCGTGGCGGCTCCTCCTGGGCACAGCCACGAGCCCAGCGCTTCGTCCCATGGCAGCTGCCTGTGGGGACAAAGGGCTCTTCAAGCCTCAGGGTGTGGGGTCGGGTGACAAGGGGAGCTCGGGGTGCTCGGGTCCACACGAAGCCATGGGAATGGAAACTGCGCTTCCCTTCGCTTTGAGGAAATGAGCGCCATCCTCTGGACGGTGGTTCCCCCGGGCAACAGCCCCTCACACGTTCCCTGGGCTCCCAGAGAGGGCCCAGACTCCCCACCCCTGCCCCAAGGCCCCCCGGAAACATGGCCTCCGAGTCTGAGGGTGGGCGGGGCTGCATGGACCTGGGGGTGGGCAGGGCTGCGTGGGTCCTCACCTGGCATTTCTGGCTCAGAAGGTGGAGCCAGCACCACCACCACCACCACCCCCTCCCTGGGGACCGCCCACCACGTCCCCCTCTCTGTGGCGAGGCTGCGGCGCCAACAGGGACTGGAAAAGGGCCTACGGCTGGGTTGGCTGGGCGAGGGGCTTCGCTCCAGAGGCCTCACAGGCCCGAGTTTCATTTCCCACGTGTGGTCTCGTTAGGTTCCTTGGGGCTCCGAGGCTGGCTGTCTGGTCGGAGGTTGTGTGTCGGGGGGTCCTGCAGGCCACACAGCAGGTGGCCCCAAGTGGGGGGCAGGACAGCTCAAGCTCCAAGCCTGCCCTCTGTGCAGCTGGTGTGCCGAGGGGGCCTGGGGGGTGCGCGGGGCCGGGTCGGGAGGGACAGTCAAAGAGAACAGCAGCACGTCCTTACTCATCAGACCATTTATTGAGAGCAGGAGGCCCCCTGCGACACTGCCACACGGATGTCACACCACGGAGACCCCAGAGCCAGCCAGAGCCGTCAGCAGGAAGAGCCGCAGGTTACAGGATGGGCACACACGCCCCCACCTGGGCAGGCAAGCACTGCCAGGCCTGGGATGGAAGGGCACTTGCTTTCCAGTAAGGCAGTTAGGACATGAAGAACACCCCCGGCCCCTGATGGCCCAGTGGACAGTGAAAGGCCCTGTCGCTGGACAAGATGGTTCTCCAAGTGACAGCAGCCGAGGGGCTTGGAGAGTGAGATGCAGGCCGAGGCGTCACCAGCTGGAGGCAGCGCTACCCTAAGCCCAAGCCTTACCCTCGGCGCCCAGCCTGACACAGGCCCCCGAAGCAGCCTCCCAGTCAGGTCCTGAGCTCACCTGTCCTGGCGCAGGGACAGGACAGGAGGTGACATGCCCCAGGGCCACTGAGCTGTGCCGGGCAGCCCGTGCAGTCCCTGCCACCGAAGCCCACCTGCAGGCAGTAGTCCAGCCGCAGCCGCCCCCACGGCTTGAGAACCAGGCTCCAGGCGGCGCTAGCTCTCCCGCCAGGCCTGGTTACAGGCTGGGCCGGGCCTCCCTCCCTGGGGCCCTGCGGGCGGCCAGGGCGCCGGCGGGCAGCTCTGCTGGACTCGGGGGCGGCTGGAGGACGAGGTCAGCCCTGCAGCGCTGCTCTCCCGCGGGCCAGCGGTGACTTTAAGGGGCTTCCCGGCCTGCAAATGTGGCCTTGCCTCACGCCAAGACGGAGGGCGCCCCAGGTTCCTAGGGTGTTTCTCAGTGAGAACAGAGTGGGGGGGTGCTTGTGGAAGGCCGGGACAGGCCCTCAGCTCTAGCCTTTCAACCCCCCGCGGGCCGCCATCTAATGCCTTCCAGCCGAGGTTTCCCCTAAGGATGCGCGCATCGGCTCTGGGCGTGGAAAAACAGGCTGAGGATCCAGGCGGACCAGGACTCGGGCGGGGTGGCCAGGCCCCGCATCGATTGCTAGCCGCTGTTTTTGAGCTGGTGCGGAAGACAGCCCCAGCCTGGACGAACACCCGATGGCACGCGGCGCCGGGAGCGGCCCAGAAGACGGCAGGGAGCAGAGGTGCCCAGGGGCACGGTCCAGAGGCAGCGCGGTCTCTGTCCTCAGAGCTGTTTCTGCCCAGGCTCCTCTGAGGCGGGTGGGAGGCCAGGGCGGGTGAGCACCCAGGGGGCGGGCCAGAGGCCCCTCCACGCTGGTGCTGCCCCCGCGGTCTGAGCCCAGGAGGGGCTGACCAACCTGCTCTGGGAGGCCAGGCCCGGGGAGGGGCCCCCTGTCCTGCTCCCTCTCCAGGCACATGCCCTGCGGATGGGGTCCCCCAGCTCCCACACACCAAGCGGCTGCGGCACCAGGTCAGCTGCAGGCAAGGGGTGTCTGAGCTCTGGGGCTGGTGGCGAGTTTGCAGCGTGGGCCGCGTCTCAGGACAGCAGGGGTGCGGGGGGTGCGGGGCTTCTGTCTCCACTCTGGTCTCGAGCCTTTGGTTTCCGGCCTCACGGGGGGCCGAGCTGGGCGCTCTCCCACATGCTGACGTCCCCCGCGGTTGGCTGGTTGCCCCGAGAAGTTTGTCTGTTTCTTTACCGTAAAACGAAGAGACACGCGGGGCCAGGCACCCGGCAACGCCTGCCGGGGCAGGACACACCGAGGCGTCCACGCCAGTGCTGGACTGAAGTTCCAGTTTTGCCAGGAGCACCAGGAGGTGGCGGCACTGCGAGGGGCCGGGATGCTGCCTCCCACCTCAGCCCCCCATGACAGGCCGGGCCTGCAGGCTAAGGCGGAGGTGGGGCGGGGCGTGGACCAGGGCCGGGCACTCTTCTCGCCTGGCTGCTCGGCCCCTCCACTTACCCGGAAGGCGGCGGATGGGCCCTCGTCTGCACGGCTGGCGCTGTGGGACAGGCCCGGCCCAAACCCGGACGGCGGCTTATGGATGCCATGAACTACGGCCCCGGCTGCAGCTGATGGCAAAGCTTGGCCAGACACCTTCTGGCTCAGCAGGAAAGGACCCAAAGCCACGTACCTTGAGCCCCCGGTGCCACGCACGTCCCTCGCACGTCCCTCGCGTGAGCGGTGTGACCGGCTCCCGGCACACTCAGACACCGGCAGGCTGTGTGCGGCCCCGGGTGTGTAAGGAGACTCGGGCCTGGAGCATGCTGGGCACGCTCATCTACACACCTGCTCCGTGAACACCGGGCATCACGTGGCCAGAGAGCCAGCTCCCGCGAGAGGGGCCCAGCCCGTCTGCCTAGCACGCCCCTGCCGCTCGCTGGCTGCTCGCTGAGGCGCGAGAACTCAGAATTAAAACTGAGCGAAAAAGGAGACTCTGGACACAACACAGGGCAGGAGGGTCAGCGGCTGGATGCGAGGCCCCTCCTCCTCCCCCCGTGTCACACGCTCCGCCGACACGCTAGTTAGAAACGGCTAGCAAAGGCGTACTTTTGGATATAAAGCTTTGTTTTCAAAGGATACTTTGGCTCTGATATAATTAGGTAGAGGAATCTGAGTTTCTGAACATAAAAAATTCAGGTAAATTACTCACACTTGAAAAATCCATCTGTGCGACCGTGCCCTCGCGGGGCGAAGGCCCTCACGGAACACGTGCGCTGGCACTGGGCCCCGCCAGGCGGCTGCGGAGCAGAGCACCCGCCACGCTGCACCAGGACCAGCCTTGTGGCGACGCGGCCCGGGAGCCGGCGCAAGTCCCGATGCCGACCTCGTCCAGGGAGCGCCGAGCCCCGGCAGCGCGGGCTCTGCACCGGCTCTTCCGGAAGCCCCACAGGCGCAGCTGGCACGGCGACTGCCCAGGAGTCCACCTTCCGCCCGCGCCCTCCGGGGGCTCAGTCTCCTCCATGCGCTCAGGAGTCCCGCGGGAGCGCCGGGGCCCTCCGTGTGCAGGGCCAGGCCAGCGAGGGCAGCAGCGCAGCGGCTGGGAGGCCACAAGGCTGGCGACCGAGGCGGAAGCTACGCGTCCTGCATCTTCTCCGGCTCCAGGCCCGCCCGATGCTGCGCTGGGAGCCATCTGCGTGGCTGCTCTTCCCTCTTCGGGGCCCCGGCCAGGACCCGCTTGGAGACAAGGCCTCGTGGGCACACGCTGGCAGCGGCCACTCCCGCCAGGCCCCGGTGCGCGCCCGCACGCCATTTTATTTACAGTAACGCGTGACAGTCCGGGCGGCGCTGCCGCGGCAGGGTCTGTGGCCTGGGCCGTGCGGGCAGCCCTCACTCCGGCTGCTTGCCACCCTCGGGCTTGGGGTCCAGCCTGCTCTTGTTGCTCTTCACCATGTAGATGAAGTAGGCCAGGGTCTCCTTCTCGTTCACCGGGATGTTCCTGAAGTGGCGGCTGACGGTCTGCGGGGAGAGAGCCCTGAGCGTGAGAAGCCACGCCGTGAGCCTTGAGGCAGCGCCCCCCGGGGCTGGGGCGGCAGGGAGGTGCTGGGCTTGCAGGCTCTCAAAGCAGCCCTTGAACCCCCAACCCACCCACAGCGCAGTTCTCTTCAGGGGTACAAGCTCACACACCCCACAGAGAAGACGGACTCTGACTGGTCCCAGAACCCTCTCAGGCCCCAGAACTGGGTGGAAAATGTTTTTTTAAAATGGTGTCAGGGGAGCAGCCACCTGGACAGATGTGCCTAAGTCGAGACGTCACGGCACGGCACGGGCGGTCTGCTGGAGGCACAGGTCACGGCTCCTCCACCCCCGACGCCCACATGCCCAGCCCCGAGGACACGGGCCCTCTCCCCTGCCGTCCCCCACCAGGGCCCAGGGAAGGCTGTGAGCCCGTGACAGGTGGTGCGAGCTTCCAGGAACATGATGGGTTAGCCAGGAGCCTCTCCAGGAAAGACCAGAGCGGGGAAGACGGCCTGCGGGAAGCTCTGCCCAGACAGAGGGGCCGGGACGGAGGAGACACAGAACTGGAGCCCACGGAGGGTGGGGAGGGTCCCTGGATAGCAAGGAACCTCTCTCCTTTTCTCCATTTTCCACGACGGCCAGAAACACATTGGGAAGACACAGGAGGGGGAACCCCAGCGCCCAGGGACAGCCAGCCAGTCTGCATGTCTGCTAACAGGGGGGCCAGCGGCTTGCCACCCTCCCAACTGGCTGAGGGTGAACCCCGGCAGGGGCAGACACGCCTGGGCTCCGCCCACCACCCTGGACATGTCCAGGCCACAGCGCAGGACTCCAGGAGAGGAGCTCCGCGATCCACCGGCCACAATTCTGGGGTGAAGATGCCCACAGCGAACCTCCATCTACTGAGGTCTTGCAGGACAAGACTCAAGCTCGCACGCCCGACATGCCAGCCCTCAACCAGCGGCCTGCACGCCCAGGCCCAGCTCTGCCCCAGCCTGCCACCAGCTCCCAGCAGTCCTCTCCCGGAGCCATGGCCGCTTTTCTGGAAATGGGACCTTCTCTGGCCTCAAGCTAGGGGTCTACAAGAGGAATAGGGCGCGGGCTCGAGCCGTGGAGGGGATCTCCACCAGCAGACACCATGGGAGAGGTCGAGGGCCCACGGAAGGCAGCGGGCTGGCCCTCCCCACAGGGCGCGCTTGGCCACCTACTTCCGCCAACTGGGCCTTGTTGAAGCCGGGTCGGGTCTGCAGCTTGTAGTGCCGCTTGTAACGCCGCAGAGTGTTCACCTGCAACTGGAACAGGTCCACCTGGAGAGAAGACAAACTGCCGTCACAGCCAGCCAGCCCCCAGGGCCTCTGTGCCTGGCGCTACTCTAGGTGGGCGGGGGTGCGAGGACCACGGAAGGAGATTGGAAATGGTCCGCTGAGGACTGACAGTTGGGAGCACACAACAACAGCGGAGAGTCCTGGCTGGGAAGGGCGGTCCCAGAGGCTGACGGAGGCAGTGACGCCTAAGCCAGGAGAGGTGGCCAGGATGGAGGTGGACAGGGTGAGGGAGCAGACCAAGAGCACAGAGAGCCAGGGCACAGACAGGCAGGCCGGGGCCACGACACTCGGGGGTGTTAAGGCCGAGACTGGATGGGAGCATGGACGGCAGATCGAAGGGGGTTCCAAGAAGATGGATGTGGTGGGGTCTGCAGGGGAGACGCATGGGGCAGAGGAGATGACCCAGGTATGAGATAGAGCAGTGAGCGCTCTGGAGAGGTCACCAGGCCTGGGAGCAAAGGTTAAACCCAGGCAGGCACCCCGGAGGAAGAGGTGTGGGGCCTGGCAGCAGAGCGGACAGAGGGGTGAAGGAGAGCCGTGGGAAGTGCTGCTTTCCTCGGACAGTCTCTCAGGCTCGGCCTGCAGGTCGCAGAATCCTTGACCACCCCCAGAGCACTCAGAGGCTGCCGTGGGGAAAGGGTGCCTCCAGGAGACACCCTTCTTGTCTAGCACAGGAAGAGGAGAGCTGCACAGGCATGAAATACGGAAGGCCCAGGGTTGGGCTGCCTTTACCTGCCTCTAAAAGAGCTGTTCTTGCTTCAGGCAGGTGGCACGCACTTAAAGACAAAATGAACCAGCAATGAGGCCCGAGTCCTTTGTTCTTTCCCAAACATTCCTCAAACCCTTTTTTAATGTTGGTGAAACGCATCCATCTCTTTACAGAATAACCGTAATACCGCTCCGGTGGCTGACAGACACGGTAACCCAAGGCCGGAGGGGGCAGGACACAGCCTGCCCGCGCCCGTCCCTCCCGGTGCCGGCGGGGGCGCCTGAGGACACGCTCCCGCCTCACATTCAGCGCTCCGCGGGGCTTTGGCTTGAAATCAAGAGGAAACCCGGTGTCCTTCCCGTGGCCTTGCTTGAGGGCCGCGGCACCCAGCAGACGGGAGGGAGTGGGTTGCATGTCCAGGCTCGCTAGGGACAGCTCGGACCCAGGAGCTTTAGCATATCTGAAGACGGGGCTTGGTGGGCACCTCTGGGGCGGGAGACTCCCTCTATGGGTCGATCAAGGCCCATGACAGCCCCCACCGCCTGAGCAGGAGCTGGCCCCCACACCCCAGGGCCAGGCTGAGGCACCCCAGTCTGGCACTGCCTGTGGGATGGTGCAGGGTCGAGGCAGGACAGAGGGAGAGACAGAGCCAGCAGCGCAGCTGCGTGCACCCTCCTGTGCAGACGGGACACAGGCCCGGCAGGCCCCTGGCCTCCAGGCTCCGAGGCCAGAAGGCGTAAGGCCATCTGACCTGGTGCCTGGCTGGGCCTCCAGGCAGGCCTCCCAGAGGCCACCGGCCGGCTGCCTGGCCCACTCCTGGGCTCCCTACCCTCAGCATTGACATTACCAGGACTCCACAGGTCACTTTTCAAGTGCACCCACCGTCAAGCTGCAGGGCTGAGGCCCCTTCTGGGCAGAGAAGGCGGAAAGGCTGGAAATGGGCCTGACAGAACCCGCCCAGCTCCTGCTGCGGCCTAGAGCTTTACCTCAGGGACATCAGTGTCGTGCTCGGGAGAATCTCCGCCGTCGTCGCTGGTCTTCCTCTTCCTTTTATTTCGCACGCTCTGGATGAAGTTTTTGTGAAAATCGCAGATGTACAGGTGCCGGACCTGGGGGAGCAAGTTGGCGTCAGAGGCGCCCTGTCCTGGAGGCGACTGTGGCACGGCGCCCTCGCCGGCTCGGGCATCTGGCAAAGCCAAATGCCCAGGTATGAAGCAGCGGGTGCCGTGACCACTGGCGTGGAATGCACCGTGGGGGAGACGTGGAGGAGAGGGACTGGGCGGCCCTAATCGTGCCCCAACGGCACTGACCTCTGACCCCCAGGCACCCACACAAGCAGCTGGAGGCTGCACGGCAGGGTGGGCATGGGGGGAGCTGGGCTTTCGCTTAGGAGCTTAAGGGCCAGGGCTGGCTGAGGAGCCCCTCACAAACCGCAGGGAGGGTACCCATGAGTAACGGTGGGATGGAGGCGCTGACATTGACACACGTTGGACAGGTGCACCCGAGGGGCTTCCAAGTGTCTTCACTCCTTAGGCTCACTAGGATGAAAGCATGCCGCGGGGTGTGACCTCGGGGCGCGACCTCGGGGCGCACAGGCCTCTCCACGCAGGAGCGAAGCCTGCTTTTGGCTCAATGACCCCGACTTTGGTGTGGCTGGACTGGCATGTCCTGGCAGTGGGCGTCCACAGCGCACTGGTGTTTTGCTTATAGCAGGGCCCCCAGCATTTATGCATCTAAAAAGCTGCTTCTTTACCGAAAGACCTCAGTTACGTATGGCCGCAGAGCAGGAGGGCTCTGGCGGGCCCAGTTCCGTGCACAGACGTCAGACAAAGCCAATGTCACTGAGGGTGGCCCAGGGCTGTGCTGGGCAGCCCCCAGCATGCGCTGCAGCCCCTCCGGCTGCTGCCCAGCACGGCACTAGAGTGCAGGCCGCTCTCCGGGGTGAAGGAGGGCGGCGCACCGCGCAAGGGGCCACTTTCTCAAGTCTTGGGCCGCAGGAACATGGGGCGCGTGGAACAGGAGTCACCGTCTTTAGTGCAGCTGGCCTCAGCCCACCCACCCCGGGAGGAACCGAAGCTGGCCAGGGCCACCACCTCACACTCCCCTGCAGTCTTCTCCACCACCCCCTCCAGTAAGGCGGCGACTGAGGAGCGTGGGAGAGCTCGCTCCTTGGTTACCCGAGACCGCGACTGGGCCCACATGGGTTGGCTGCCCAGCTGGGGCTCTGGGGCTGCCATTTAGCTGCCAGGGTCGCTGCTGGGCACCTACACAAGACACAGTCCTCATCTCTCCCCGGTCATGTTCAGGCACACCCTGGAGTGCAGGCATTCAGGATCGGGGAGAGGGGCGGAGGGGGGCGGGCCGGAGCTCCCAGACCCACGGGGCAGGCCCTGATTTTTGTTTCCTGTTCACTTCCTGCTCCAGACAGTTCCTGCTCCGCCTGCCCCAGCCGTGCGGGCAGAGCAGAGGCCTGCTCAGGACACGGGCTGCACCCGCCAGCCCACGCCAGGCCAGTGAGCCCCGGAGAGGCAGCCCCGGGAGGGCAGGGGGCTGGCATGCTGGTCCCACACAGGTTCCCGGGGCTGCCTGGAGAGCGGAGCCCCCGCTGGGTGGCAAAGGCCCTCAAGCGCGCGGGCCTGGGCGAGCCGGCCGTTTCTCTCTCTGAGGACTGGACACCATCGCGCCGCCCGGCGCCGGCGGGGCGGGCGGGAGAGCGGCGGCTGCAGGGATGGAGTCCCGTCCCGTCCCGTCCCGTCCCGTCCCGTCCCGGCGGCTGGCCCCCGCGCGCGCCGTTCCTCACGGTGAAGGTCTCGTGAGGCCAACGACGCCCCCAGCCACGTTTAATGGCGCAGCCGCCTCGGCCGCGGCGCATCTCATCCGACTTTGAGGAGAAATTGGGGGCGGGCGGGAGAGGCTGGAGAGAAGGGCCGGGCAGAGGTGCTGCTCCTGGAAGCCTCCCCCGAGGCTCCGGCAGGGGTGCGGGGAGTGAGGGGCTGCCTCGGGGATCCGTGAGCCCCCCAGGGCCTGAGGGGCGCCCCCCGCCCTTCCTCCCAGCCTCGCACAGGGGCACAGCTTGGGGCACGGCCCCGGGCCCAGCGAGCTATTAATCAGCGGCCTCAGACGCCCCAGCTGTGGAGAGATTTTCTCTGAGAAAGCGCAGCGCCGGGACTGGGCCGGCCCGGGCGGGCGCCGGGGGGGGGGGGGGGGGGGGGGGGGGCTGCGCCGCGCCGGTCCCGGCGGCGAGGGCGGGCGCGCGTCCCGCAGCTCCGGCAGGGCGCCCGCGCGGGGCTCCCCCCGAGCCCGACGCCAAACTTGGGGCCCGGCGCTGCAGCCCGAGCCCCCCCCCCCCCCCGCTCCCAGGGAGGCCCCGCGGGGGCGGCCGTCCGGGCGCAGCGCGCAGGAGCCGCCCAGACGCCCCGGGCCGGGCCGGCCCCCCCCTCCGCGCCGGCCTCGCCGCCCGCGCCCCGCCGGCCCGCCCCGCGCCCGGGACTCACGCTCCTGTCGACGTCCAGCCGCAGCCGCCGCTGCGAGATGCTCTTCTGCACGCGCTTGCTGAAGGAGGCGTTGCCCGCCGGCCGCGCGCAGCGCTCGCCGGCCGCGATGAGGCAGCAGCTCTGGCCGGGGCCGGGGGCGGCGGGCGCGGCGGGCGGCCCCTCGCGGCTGTCCTCCTCGGTGCTGAAGCCGTTCATCGCCCCGCCGCCCCCGCCCGCGCGCGCGGGCCCCGCGCCGCCCCGGCCGGCCCGCCCGCCCCCGCCCGCCCCCCGCGCCGGGCCCGCGGGCGGCCGGGTCTCGGGTCTCGGGGCGCCGGGGGTCGGGGCCCCGCCGCGCCCGCTCTCTCGGGGCGGCGGGGCCGACTCGGCCGGGCCGCTCCCGGGGGGCGCGGCCTCCGCGCGGGGCCCGGCTTCGAACCCGCGGCGCCCGGGCCGCCCCGCCCCGCCCCGCGGCCGCCGCGCCCGAGCCCGCCGCGCCCGGCCGCCGCCCGCCGCCCGCCGCCCGCGCCGCCGCTCCCCGCCCTCCGCGGGACGGCGGAAGTCCCGCCCCCGCGCGCCCATTGGCCGCGCGCGCGCGCTGGGCGGGGCGGGCGCCGCCGCTGACGCGCCCCATTGGGCGCCGCCGCCGCCGCTCCCCGGCGCCGAGCTACTTCCTGGACTCGGCTGGGGCGGCTTCAAAGTCGGGAAAGTGGGAGCCGAGGAGTTGGCGGGGCGGGCGCGGGGCGCGGGCCCGGCGGGGCGGGCGCGGGGCTGGCCCGGGCGCGGCCGCGGCGCGGGCGGCGGGAAGGACGCGAGCGGGGGCCGGGGGGCGCCGGCCGGGGCCGCCCGCGCGGTGCCTGCGCTCCAGCCGGGAGCCCGGGGGGCGGCCCCGCATGGCCTCGGGGGCCCCCAGCCCCCCCACCCCCGGCCACCCCGCCCCGGGCGGGCCCGAAGGGCTGCGCGCGACGAGCAGCCTTTCCTGAGGGCGGGGCGGCGCCTCGGGCTGGGGTGGTGCGAGAGAGCGGGACCCGTTGGGCGGTACGGGAGGCCCGGGGGTGTCCTGTTGAAGCGGGGCTGTCACTCCCCAGTGAGCGCCCCGCCTGTGACCTTGCCGTGACCTTCCACTTTCGGGCCCCCTCGGGTCCCCTCGTTTATTGCTTCCCCGCTCGGGACAATGCAGTTCATCAGGGATTGTTTGTAACGGGAAAGATAGGGCCCCCCAAGTCCCCCTGGCAGTGCCTAAGGAAACCCCCAGCATCGCGGCCATTCGGCCTCATTCGTGCTGCTTGAGCATTGAAGGGGGTTGCACCGAGGACGTGGACATCGCCATACAATACCCAGCAGGGACTCTGCAGCAGAGTTAACGAATTGCAAGAACGCCTTTTCAATGCTCAGTTGAAACACGCAGAACATAACTTTGCACATGGATGTGCACATGGATGTGATGTGTGCTCGCCTGTGGACATAATGGAAAAAAAAAAAAAAGAACAAGAACTCTGTCTACAAAAAGCACCAACGTGCCGCTGGTGACACTGCTCCTCCCGCCGGCCCGGCCCACCCTGCCTGTGCACCGGCCCCTTCCGCTGCCCCCTCCCTGTTTCTGCCCGCCCTGTGTCCTTTGGAGGTCCCTGACCCTGCGTGACCACAGCCCCCCATTAGAACTAATAAATCTTGGTATTAATCTTTCCTTGTTCAAATTACTGTGTGATTTCTCTCCCCTAATTGGACCCAGCCAGATACCCGCGGCCTCTGTATCTTGGGGGGGCGGGGTGCACATGCTTTTGATTTTCCTCTATGTACAGTTTTGCAGTCTTCAAGGAGTGCTTTATTCCCCACCTTACTAAATAGACTGTTTCCAAGTAGCAATACAGGTTTTCCTCCCTCCGAGAAAGTAGAATCTTCCTATTTACTATGACTTGATAGGGATACTTTTAAAATTTTCTGGGGTCTGGGGATACTTACAAAATTTTCCATATGAGTTAGTGGCAACAGTGTTCCCAGACCCAGAAACCAACCTACCAGTTAGGAGTGCGCTGCTTTCAGATAGAAGGGGGAACCTGTATTTGAAAGAAATTCTGACCCATTTGTTGGGGGGAGTAACCCTGTAACTTCAAAATGGAAATAGAATGAACGCTCCAGCAATGAATGGGCGGAAATAGGGGAGAAGCTGCTGAGATCCCTGGTCTCCTTTATGTAAGATTTAAGATTCTGGAAATGCCGGGAGAATCTAATTTGCTGCATTTATGTATTTAGGTAATTAATTTACAACAATTGCAAAGTGCTTAGAAAGAGCTTGCTTTTTAGATTTGTAAGTCTGCCCTGTGGGGCATTTAAAGGACTTGAGAAAATCAGGCATATTAAATTTGTAATTTAGTACGAAATGTCTAAGGACATCCGATTCATTAAGGCTGTGAGTCTGCTGTTTCAGGAGGATGGAAGCTGGTAAACTTCAGAATTCATTCAAAGGTAATCGGAACCCGTGAATGTGCCTGCTCTTAACTTCATGTGAAAAATGGCTGCCTTCAGAATGGACTAACACAATTTGGAAGCTGGATTTAAAGTCTTTAGTAAAACTAGGTTTTAAGTGGGTAATGTGGGTTCGCCAGGGCCATGCCATTTGTTACACCCGAGCCAATCCCCCAACTTCGTAGATTCCCCCACCCCAGGCTTCTTCTCCGAGCTCCGACTGGCAGCACTCAGCTCTTCGCTCAGAACGCTCCAGGGCCACGGCACAGCCTGCGAGACTCAACTCCCACCACCCGCCCCCAACCGCAGCCAGACTTGCTCTCCTTCCTCTCACCTCCAAGACCACCCTCGGCCAGCCAGCCAGGCCCAGGCTTTCACCCAAAGCGCCTCCTGGCCTGTGAGCTGGCCCCTACACTGCTCTACTCCTGGGAACCTCTACACACACCTGACCTTGGCACAGCCTCTGTAAGTGCCTGGCTCCCCAGTGCACTTAGGCAGTGCCCCAGGTCTCCTTCCTTAAGGTCCTCATAAAGGCAAGTTCCCTCCTACCTCTAGGTCTCTGCGTTTGCACTGTCTTCTGCCCCAGTGTTGTTCTGCCTGCTCCTCCCAGGGCAGCGCCATCCCTCAAGTCTCAGTGTAAAAGTCACCTCCCCCAGGGAGCCTTCCCTGATTAAAAGGACTTGGTGGCCTAGTTCCCCCCACCCCTGCCCATCATTTTTATCTGTACAGTGTCTCCTCTTAGGAGTCATCACAATGTGCAATTATTCTCCGGGCAGGACCCTCTTGTTTCGCGTCTCTCTCTTAGGTCACGAGCTTTGAGACTGCGGGGCTGTGTCTGTCGTGGGGGGCTTGGGTGTTGCATGCGCTGACCCTTCAGTCATGGTGGTTGAATGGGGGGGTGCAGCCAACATTTTTTCAATATATTAAATGTTATCAATCATACCATGCTATTTATTAAGTGTCTGGAAAAACAGACACACAGCTGTGGGCCCATGCTGTTTGTGTTTCTTAAAGTCCCACGTACACGCGCATACGGGAGAGCCAGGAAGAACTTAAATGTTATGACCCTTCGTGCTTGGGCATTTGACTCTGCCCTGCATTTCTTCCAGATAACAAGGACACTCTCTTGTCCAGAAGAGCCCATGGAATACTAAATAAGCAGGAAGACGCTCAGAATAAAGGAGCCATTCAATGGAATAAATCACGTTTAATGGAAAAACCCAGAAGGTGGGTCTGGGGTCCTTGTCCTTTGCCCTTAGGCTCCTTCCTCAGGGCGGCTCCTCCCCCACCCACCCCCAGCCAACAACAGCATGATGCTAAAGGAAAAAGGCCCCATAGGGAGTCATTTTTGTGGGTCCACTCAGAGTCCCTCACCTAACTAGTTTCAGCCTCCCCGCCAAAGCGAAATTCTACACCCACCAGCTGGGGTTTGGGTGCCCTAGTGCGGGGGTGTGTGTGTGTGTGTGTGTGTGTGTGTGTGTGTGTGTGTGTGTGTGTGTGCTGCCTGCCCCCAAAGGCAGGTGGCCTGGCCTGGGGAAAGGCTCCTTTCCCTCTGCTGGCCCCCGCCCCCTCCTCTGACCGCAGGCATCTGTGCATTCCCACTGCAGCCCCTTCCAACCGCTAACAGGCCGCTGAGCGGCTCCCAGGCCTTGAAGAAGGCAGGCGGGTCTCCAGACACCTCCTGGGGAATGTGGTTCTTAACCGGGTGGACGTCTGGACAAGCTGGCTCTGGACTGGGGGTCCTTGTTTGAGTCCCAGCTCTGCCGCTCTAACCAAGGGAGCCTCAGTTTCCTCCCTCTGTAAAGTGGGATGGCCAGGGAAGGCAGCTCTATCACAGGACAGCTGTGGGGAGAAGCCCTCAGCACAGGGTCTCTTGTGCGCAACCAGTGCTCCGGAAGTGGCCGTTACCTCGCACGCCTCCCTGAAAATCCAGGAGGCTATTACAAAGGAAGGTGTGTTTATTTGGGGCCAAAGAATTCCAATTTGGGGCACATAGGTTCAGGTTGAAAACCTAAGATGTGCCCCAAGGGGGACAAAGTCAGGGCTTTCTAGGGGAGGACAAGGGGGCAGGTAAGGAAAAGGGCAGCGGGCTCAGAAAGGAGCTGCCCAGGGCGGACACGCCCACCGATTCCCCGCCTCGGCCACAGGCTCTCCAGGAAGCAGGAAAGGGGCCGCTGGTCTGTCCTCTGGCCAGACGTCCCTAATCTCAGTTTTCATGGTCTCAGTCACTTCCCCAGCAATTCTCGGCTCGGTGATTGCTTGAAAGGCTTTCTGCCTGCCCCAGTCCGGGGCCTGCCACCCCATCCAAAGGGTAACGCAGTTTCTGTTAGCAGGAACTTTGGGCCTGACGAAGTTGGGGTTTGAGTCTGTGGAGGACCACAAATCTGCCACTCCAAAATGCCTCTTTCTGGCAAATGGTTGGTTTCATGGGCAGCGCCTGGAGGCTACGCCGACTTTTTTTAAAAAAGATGTGTATGGTAAGGGTCTGCGGGGGAAGACCCGGCTGCTGTCCCATGGAGAAGGCAGAGCTGGATCTGCACAGTGCTGTTTGCTGTGCCCTCCCGGTATCTCTCTGACTGACACCCCCTCCGCCCCCCAAGTCCTTCTGTTCCAGCTGTTAGGGTGCACCTGCAGCCACGGGGCGTCACGGCGCAGCCAGCTCTCCCCACGGGGGTGGGAGGCCCACGTGCTGTTACTGGCCTTCTCTCTGGCTCTCTGCCAGCCCGTCCGGTGCGCATAGTCACTGTCCTAGAAGAACCAGGAGTCGCGGGTGGTGTCCTTTGCACACGACGGCAGCAAAGGCTGGGGCCCAGCTATTGGCAGAGCAGGGTAGCCCAGGCCTCTTCTTTCCTCTCCTCACCACTGGGCTGTGGACACCCCGAGTTAGCCTTACTCACCCCTGTCTTTCCACACCTGGAACAGAGCTGGGACCGGCCGCTGTGGGCACCGGGCAGACCTCTGAGGGCCCTGGACGTGTGGGCGTCTGTTGGCTGAGGGAGCAGCCCTGGGACTGGGGCTGCTGCTGTGAAGAAGCCGCAGTGAGCCGGTGCCCGCCCCGTGGTCCAGGCTTCAGGCCCTGCTGCCCAGTGGATGGAAGGTTGGGGTAGGCAAGGTCAGCTCTCAGCCCCTGCAGAGGAAGCAGCCATGCCCCGTGCCCACTCCCTGCCCTGGGCAGAGCTGGCAGGAGATCAGACGCTCTCCCTGCGGCTCAGGAACAAAGGCTGCAAAGTTGCTAAGAAACCTGCTTTCTCCGTTCACCCGTGTGTTCTTTTGTTTCAAGGGGGCATGTGAGACTGTGTGTGAGTGTGAGTGTGAGCAGCCAGGGCTGTTCCCCTGCTGGCCCTGAATCAAGTCTGGCTTAAAGGTAAGATCCGCAGGTGGCCTGGGGCGCTATGTGGGTCCCAAGTATTCCCAAGCCAGGGCAGTGAGGGGGACGAGAGGCAGCCACTGCCCAGGCCAGAGGCTGGTAGGCCCCTGCATGGCTGCAGGAGGAGGCTCTAGGGGCCAAACACCTGAGGCCCTAGGGCGTGAGGCACAGCAACGGAATTGGGTTGGCCTGCTCACTGCTGTGCCCCTGGGAGCCCACTCCCTCCCCTGCCTCCCACCCCAGCCCCCCTGAGCTAAGAAAACAAACCAAGCTTGCTTGGAGCAGGGGAGTGGGTCTCAGAGCTGGAGAGCCTGAGGCCCAGGGTGGGAGGCACCTTCTGAGGCTCTGGGCACCCCCCCCCCCCGCACGCAGAGCCCTCTGGAGAAGGCAGTCTGGAGGCGTGTGAAGGGGGACAGCCTGAAGAGCACTGGAGGCCACTCCGTCCACCCCCGTCTACTCACCGGCTCCTCGTTGGGCCTGAAGCCACAGCCCCGGCCAAGTTCAGAGAAAAGGAAACTCTGAAACTCTGAGCAACTTGCCAAGTGCTCCGAGGAGTCTGTTTCCAAGAATTAGACCACATGGTCTGTCTCCCCAAAGGGCCAGGGCGCTCTGCTCCCAAGTGGGCACCTCCCTCAAGGTCGCTTTGATGGGGCCGGAGGTCGTGGTCATGGCCGGAACCAGAACCTGGGGGCGTCTGCTGCCGGGATGGGACTGTTATTCTTGTCCTGATCTCAGCAGGATCCCTGCCCCCTTGGAGGACCCAGGGGGATGTTGTTTGGGGTCTCACCCAGGTGCAGGTTTATCAGCGAGTACGCCCCCCACTACCCGAGAATCTCACCTTTACCCCCAGAGTGGAAGACACTGCACCCCCTTCTCGTGTGTCATGGGAAGTGTCCCCCCCTTGTCCCTCCACGCCCCAGGCCCCCAATCACAGGCAGATGATGCCCCGGGTTGCCGTGTGAGTCTTCGGCATCCACAGCTCGGAGGCGCCCTCCAGGCGTGCGGGAAGCGCCACCTTTTCTCCGACCTTCTGCTGCTAACTGCCAGTCCGTCCGGCCTCAGAAGAACCCAGGGGGATTTCCCTCTGCGCCCCAAGAACCAACACCTCCCCAGGCTCCATGGGCTGTTCTCCCACTGCAGGCTGGGGAGTTGGGGAGCCAAGATGGAGGAGGAAGGGGACCCCCTGTCCTCACACCAGCACCAGGAGCTGTGAGGAGCACCCGGGCCCTGTGCCCCATGTGCCCACCGCCACCCTGGGCCAGCAAGCCGCTCCCTAGCTCTGGACGGCAGGCGGGAGTTCCGCTGCCGACCCCCGTGTTTTCTGCTCCTTTAAAATAAAGAGCAGGGTCTCCCTGAGTCCAGTCCCGGCCAGGGAGCTACCCACAGGGTGCAGCAGACCCCTCCTGTCTCCCTGTTGCTCCTCTCAGCCGTGTGTTTCAGCGGATCCGCCTGTTCTGCTCCCCACTGTCTCTGGTGCATCCTCTCACCCCCTGCACCTCTGTCCTGCACCCCAGCTCTTGCATGCATAGATAAATAAATCTTTAAAAAAATAAATTAAAGCAGACACACCTCCCGCCCTGGGGCCTGCCTCTGCCCCTGCTGCCGCTGTCCTGCCTGGTCCAGCCTCTCTGATCCGTCCAATCGCTGCTGCCCTGCACTGGCCCCCCCAGTGCCTGAAATGCTCCCATCTTCCTCTTTTGTTCCTAGTCAAGCAGATTAATCCTTTGGAAGAACCCAACGCAAGTTTCAGGAGAAAAGACAGTGGGAAAACGCTTTCTGAAATAAATGGAGCCGGAGAAAGACAAACACTGTCTCCCCCAAGTCGCTCTTGATACATGAACGAAAGAATCAGCCAAACACAACTAGGTAACTAAATAAAGGGAGAAGAAGCACTGACCTGCGAGAGCCACCAAGGCCGTGGTTAGCTCAGGGACAGGGAGGGGGTCGGTCAAGGGGCGCCCGTGGGGAGTGGGCCAGACGCTCCCAGCCCCGCGCGCACCTGACTTGCCATCATGTGATGAAGCCGCGTCACCACAACACGAAGCTACACCGAGCGCTGTCTTGTTGATGGCGAGGGACTTTCCAAGCGAAGCACAACGAAAGTGGCCAAAGCCAGGGCTGGCGCCGGTCGAGGCTCAAGGGCGCCTGCCCCGTCTTCGCCTGGGTCCGTCTCCGGGCACGGCCAAGGCACCCCTGTGGGCCCAGGCGGCAGCGCCCCCAGACTCGGGCCTGGCCCCACAAGGCCAAGCCACAACCGAACCCCCCGGGTACCACGGGGCGGAGGCTGGGCCTTGCGGGGCAGGGTCTGCGTGAGGTCTTCGGGGCAGCGGCCACGTGGGCATGGCAGCCCTTCCAGCCGGTACCCCAGATCGGGTTCTCCTGCTGTTTGGTGAGTAGGGACGAGGCTGATGGCTACGGTCAGGAACCAGCTCAGTTTACTACATGTTGTCACTGCCCTCCTGAGCCCTCAGGCCCAGGCTGTGGTCTGCAGCGCGTCTGCAGGCAGCCCCCTCCCCACACACACCCTTCAGCCCACTGTGCTGCCTCTGGGCCTTTGCACTGGCTGTTCCCTCCGCCTGGCACTGTAACAGGGTGGTCCCCAGGAAAGGGGGAGGTTCCCTGCCCCACCCAAGGGAGGGTGGAGCTGAGCAGGAAGAGGAGAAGCTGCAGAAGAGACTGAGGAAGGAAGGAGCAGGATGGAGCCAGGAGCCCTGGAGGAGGCGCGTGGAGCCTAGAGACACGTGAAGAAACTGCGCTTGTCTTTTAGTCGTGGACTGGGTGACACAGATGTGGGTGAGACCTGTGGGGAGGTGACAATGGCAGCTTTTATCTTGATGTTGATTTTGCTCTTTTCCTTCCGGGCTTGTCTGGTTGTTTCTGGCCCTTTTCTGTGGGTCCCACTGGAAGATGCTTTAGACTTGGGGCAGGCCTTGGGGCCTTGCTCTGGGCCAACCCCATATGGATGGACTTTTACCCATGAGGGGACAGGTCACTTTGGGTGCTTGATTTAGAAACTAGACTCTGTCTTACCTGTATTGTTTCCTAGTTTTATTAAAGTTCCTTCCCCTTAAAGTCTCCTATGTTTTCTGTTGATGCGGCGGATGGCAGAACCCATGTAGAATAGGCAGGTTTGCGGGGTTTTGGGCTGCCCCTCTCCCTGTCCTATAACAGCACTTTCCCCCAAACGGCCTCCCAGCTCACAGTCCCTCCTGGCTTTTGGCTCTCATGGGGAGGCATTCCCTGCCCATCCCACCAAAGCGGACCCCACTGGGTCACCAGAACACCCTGTTTCACACCCGGCATCATCTTGCTCCACTCCCTCCCCAGAGCCTGCCGCTGGGGTTTGCCTGGGCTGGGAGGGCCCGAGGCAGGCTCAGTGGAGACGTGTGGGACCGCCGGAGGAGAGGCGCCGTACAAGGAAGAGGCCGGAGACCACATCAGAGGGAGTGCAGGGTTTACTCCACAGCCACACGCGCACGGCCAGCACTACACAGAGGCCCCTTTCCGGGCGACCAGCAGAGCTTGGCCTCTGGAGCGTTCTCTGTGGGACCCTGTCGGAGTTCTTGGCTCTCCCTGCCCTCCCTTGGGGGTCCCCTGTCCCCAAGTTGGTCAAGAGTTGGATCCCCCCAGCTGTTGTCCTCAGACAGAGGCTGAGGGCTGTGAAGAGGACACTGTCACTGGGAAAGTGGTCCCCCTGCACCCCAGGGCGGGCAGCACCCTCAGCTCAAGATCAAGCACTAGGGAAACACTCCTTGGATTTTCACAAAAGAGCATCTATAAGCAGAAAGGAACCCCCAACAGAGGTGCAGACTCAGGCCCTCCCCCCACTTAAACCCTCAGAAAACATCAAAACCACACGGCCCCCAGGCATTAGAAAATCATCCAAAGTGTACAAACGAGGGCCCTGAAGCAGGGGACCCAGATTTCCTGGTTAGGCTGTAAAGTGCTTTGTCGTTCCACTGAGACCCCGGAGCAAGGCTGCTTCCCTCAACAGCATCCGCTTCTTCAGGGGGTGTGGGCAGCGCCCCAATTCCTGAGGCTGGCGGCCTCCCAAACACGGCTGGCGGTGGTCAGCGCCCCGGCAGGCCTGCAGGCCGGGCCCTGTCACCAGAGAGCACTCAGGAGCCTCAGCTTGGCCGAGGCCCAGAGCCGGGCGCAGGATGGGAGGAGGCGGCGGCCTGCGTGCGTCGCTCCTGCTGCCCTGAGCCCCAGGCTGGGAGTAGGACCGGGTAGGCCTGGGATGGGGTGCAGGCCTAGCTGCCAAACAGGGCCCTGGGGTGCTGCTGAGGCCTCTCCAGGCCACGGACCTCGGACTGATAAGACTCTTGGGGCCTGGCGCTTGGGGTTCTCTGTCTCAGACCCTGCTCTACACACCACGTCTCCTGCTCGAAACTGGACATTAACACACGCACGCACGCAGACATGCGCCAACACGCAGGCGCGTGTGCGTGGGAACTGCACACGCAAGGGTCCCCTCCCGCAGCCCTGCCCGGCCTGTCTAGCAAGGCACTAGGAAATGGTTCAAGTCTAGGGATTTGCATTTTTTCTTTTTAAAAGGCACAGTTTATATGTTAATGACGCTGCACTGCTTGGGGGAAGAGTCCTGACTCAGCTCTCCACCCACAGCCACAGCGCTGGCTGCCGGCCAGGCCTCCTCTGTTGCCTCCTCCCTGGAGGGGGCACTCATCTGGACAAGGACGCCAGGGAGGGGCAGTAAGAGGACCAGCCCCTCTCCCTCAGGAGACCAAGCAGGGCTTGTGCTGGGCTGGGGCCGTCCTCAGAAGGACTGTAGCCAGGGTCTCCTCCCCCAGGCAGCCACCAGCCTGCCTCCCAGAGGCAGCCTCACTCAGGCCTCAGGCCTGTCCGGTGGCCAGTCGTCAGGCCGCATCGGTCTGGCCCTGGGGCTGACGGCGAGGGCTTCCCGGGCTTCTAGGTGCTGTTTGGCTTCCTGAATCAGGCTGGTTACAGAAATGCTCCGGTTAGCTTGGGAGCCGCCTTTGGGGACTCGGTTTTGGGGCCCAGGGGTGGGGTCTGACTCAGAGTCGACCCAGTAAAAGGTGAACACGGAGGCTTGGCTGGGCGCCCGCAGCGTGAGGACAGGGCTCCGGGTCTTTGTGGAGACCTTGGCCCCGAGGCCTCTGCTGCGGGTGATGGACATTGCTTGTCCCCATGGGCTCCAGGCCGGTCACCAGGCTGGGGGCTAGTGTTCTAGAAATGCACCTGCAGGCCAGACACTTTGGGTCGCGATGGAACTACAGAGCCCTTTAGCATCCCTGGAGACCTGTGGGGTCAGGGCATCCTGCCCGTCTACCCTGGAGGCCTCCAGACTCGGCAAGGTGAGTGCTGCACCCCACTGATCCTCCTGAGGCAGGTTGTGTATGTGTGTGTGTGAGGGAGGGAGAGAGAGAAGAAAGGGAGAGGAAGAGGGAGGAGATGGAAGCGCGATCAGGGACATTCAGCCTGAATTCCTACTAGACCTTTCGCTGGAAGCAGCCCCGACAAGAGGGTGGCCTGGCCGGCCCAGCCCCTGGCAGGGGGTCTCGGACACCGGGGAGCAGAGGGACATCCCGTGTCCCCGAGGCTGCAAAGGGAATCTGGTTGCTCCACCCCAGCCGCAGGCCTGGCAGCTGGCAGCAGTGAGCACGGGGCTGCGAGGTGGGGGTCTGTGTGCACGGCCTCCCCGGCCGTGCCTGAGAACAGGAGCTGGGTGCCAGCGGCCAGGCCAACACCGAAGAGCCGAGACCAGCGGTTCTGAGAAAAGCTCCCTTCCCTGGGGGCAGAGGGACCCACGTGCCTCTTTCTAAAGGGCTGTGGTGTGAGAGCTGCTGCGGGCCGGCCACCCTGCAGGAGGCCCTGGCCTCCCTCCTGCCTAGCGCCCAGGGGACAGGGTGACGTGCTGGCAGAGCCCTGGGATGCCCACGCCCGCAGGGGTGAAAGCCCCACTCTGCCCAGGCCTGCGCCACCCTCGCTGCGGGGCTCCACCTGCAGCACCCAGCGCCCTCTGGTCCGGCCGACCGCACCTCGCCCGCCGCGGTGCCTGGGGGGCCTGCGAGGGCAGCAGGCTCAGTTCCGATTGAACGTTTCCAGGACGGTGGAGTTGGTGTGTTCAAACAGCCACTGCTGGGTGGGCGACGCGGGGTCGCAGGTGCTCATGAAGACCCTGTGGTCACTCGGGCTGCAGTCCATGCAGCTGCCGCTGACCGGATGGAACAGGCTCTTGTCCTGCGAGACAGGGGCGTCAGCGGGCGGCCTGGGCTCGGGCGTCCAACAGCAGCAGTGACAGTGCAGAGACGGGGATGCAGCCACTCACCGGCTGGCTCGGCCACCCCAACACCTCCGGGCCCCAGCTAGTGGGCGCAGGCCTGGCCTCAGGCCCCATGCTGCCTCCGGGGACACAGGCAGACGGGATGCCTACCACTGGCAGGCTGGGTCCCCACCACGGCCCGGCTCAGGGCACATTCATTGGTTCTTGGTGGGTGGGGGTAGGGGGCTTCCTTAATAGATTGTAAGATTCTAGAGATTCCACCCAGAAGTGAGGGCCTCTGGCTGGAGCGGCCGGGCCAGCTTGTAGAACAAAGCGGGTGTGAGTGGCTCTGCAGGGGGAGGGAGGTGCCGTGGCTTGTTCTAACAGGCCACGGTGGGGGAGCCCCCCACTTACTTTGCGGTACTTCCACAGCTGGTTCCCCTTCATGCTGTGGCAGTCGTACAGGGTGACGGGGCTGGTGTGCGACACGGCGTCCAGGCAGAACTTCTTGGTGTGCAGGGGGTCCCCAGGCCGGATGTCCTCCCTCCAGGTGAAGGTGAACACCTGTGCACAGGGGCCGTCAGCGGCGGCCAGTCGTGGGCCACTCTCTTCCGCCGCCAGGTTTTTTGATTTTTTACATTATGGGTAATTTTGAACCCAGAGGTGCAGGAGAGGGCGCTGCCCACCTCCTGCCCTGCCACCCCACGCAGGCAGCGCTTCCCGGCACTAGCCAGGCTGGGTGGCTCCACCCGGCTCGCCCCAGCCCCGTGGACAGATGCCGAACCCCACACCACTGCAGGCACCGCTCTAACAAGGAAAAGTCCCCACCGAGTCCTCCTCGCCATCAAGCAGCTGCCTCGGGTGCTCCTGGGCGGCCTGTGACGTCGGCCTCAGGACGCAGACCCGGCCAGTGCGGCCCTGGCTTTCTCCTTGGCTGTTTGACCGGCAGATCGGCACGTGACAGAGCGAAGCATTTGGTGCGTCTGGCATGTGTCCACTCCAGTAGTGAACATGCCCGTCACCCCCCAAGTGCCACCAAGTCCCTATGGAATCGCGTCCTCCTGCCCCCTCCCCACCCGCACGCCCTGGCACGAGCCCTCCCCGGGCCTGGTCCGCGGCCCTCCTCAGCCTGAGTTCTGTCGTGAACACAACTCTGGCCCTGGGGTGCCAGCCTGCCGACGTCAGGGTCACTGCCAGCTCGGGGTCCCGGCAGCAGAGGTCATCAGCACGGTTTGTGGGGGCACTGGCTTCTCTTCTTGCAGGCAGAACATCTATGCTGGGCCCCAGGGGTCCGCGTTTAACTTTCTAACAAAACGCAGGCAGCATCCCCCACGCTGGACCGGCCACAGCCCCACGCAGGACACGGCGCTCAGCCAGCCTTGCGGCCGGTTTTCACAATGGATTCAGCTCAGGCCTCTGGCGCCGACGGGGGGCGGTGAAGTGGGGCATTTTCGATAAGCCCGTCTGGCATGGACACCCTTTCTTGCCAGGGTGTCTCCCCAGATCTGCTGCCCGCTCCTGGGCTGGGTGGTTTGTGTTTTTAGTTCTGAGTTTTCTGTATTCCAGCCCATGCCTTTAGGGATGTCTGCTCTGTGACTCTTTCTCCCAGCCTCTGGCCGGCATCCGAGCACCTCAACACCGTCGTTTAAAGAGCAGAAGGTTTTTATTTTGCAGAATTCACATCTCAGTTTTTTCTTTTACTGTGAGTTTCGTGCTGCAGCTTAGAGGTCACAGCTTAGTCCAAGGTCAAACACTTCTGACTCGGTTTTCTTAACAAAGATTGCGTGTTAGGTTTTATGCTTGGGTCAAAGATCCATTTTTTTAAAAAAAGATTTATTTATTTATGCATACAAGAGCTGGGGTACAGGCCAGAGGTGCGGAGGGTGAGAGGATCCACCAGAGACAGAGTGGGGAACAGAACAGGTATACTGACCAAAGTACACTGCTGAGGGGAGGGGTCTGCTGCGCCATGTGGGTAGCTCCCTGGCCGGGGATCAAACTCATGCTGCAGAGGCTGCGGACAGCTGCATAAGTTGCGTCTTAACCCCTTGCGCCACCAGGGAGGCCCCCAAAGATCCATTTTTAAAACTATTTTTTTAAATGATCCATTTCAAGTTGACTTTTGTACATGGGATGAGATGAGGCATGCATAGAAATTATTTTTTTGCCCATTGCTCCAGCGCCATTGTTGAACAGACTGTCTCGTCTCCACAGAACTGCCTTTAGGCCTCTGCAAAAATCAGTGCTCTGTGAAGGTGGGGGCGCTTCTGTCCCAGGGGCCTTGCCCTAGCCGACATCACGCTCCCTGGCCATGTCGCCACAGAACGCACCTGGGGCGGGCAGCCCGGCCCTGGCTACGCACTTCTCTCCGAAACGTGCAGGTGAATTTCCCAGGCAGGTGTTCAGTTCTACGAGACAGCTTGCTAGGCTGTTGGGAGTGTGTTGAATCTGTATTTTGGTTTGCAAAGAACTGATGTCACGGCTGAGTCTCCTGGCCTATGGACACGGGCACACATTTATTTAGAGTTTCAAATTCTATCAGGTAGGGGGCCTCCCTGGTGGCGCAAGGGTTAAGACGCAACCTATAAAGCAAGCCGTAGCCTCTCCAGCACGAGTTCAATTCCTGGCCAGGGAGCTACCCACATAGCGCAGCAGACCTCTCCTGTCTCCCCGCTGCTCCCCTCAGCAGTGGATTTCAGTGGATCCGCCTGTTCTGCTCCCCACTCTGTCTCTGGTGAGTCCTCTCACCCCCCCACCTCTGGCCTGTACCCCAGCTCTTGTATGCATAAGTAAATAAATCTTTTAAAAAATAAAGAAAAAAAAAAACAAATTCTATAAGCTAAAAACTAATTTTTATAAATGGATCTTTGACCTAAACATACCTGGGTATTTCGTGATTTCTTTTGTTGCAGTAAATGCTTGCTTTTAATTTTAATTTCTGATTCTTCATTTGCATATAGAAATAGAAATAAAATCTTTACATCTTGCAACTTTGCTAAACTCAATTATCAGTTCTGGAGAGTCATGAAGTTGCCTCCGGACTGGAGTGTGCAAACAGGCGGCTCCCTCTGGCTGAGGCATGAGCAGAGCAAGAGCACGGCCTGTCAGGCCTGGGCCAGCGTGTCCCCTCCGCAGAGGGCAGCGGGCCGTGGCCTTTGGCTGCTGGTGTCCAGATGGGTGGGTTTAGGGTGCCGTGACCCCCCTTCTTCTCTGCTGTCAGGAAGCTCTCGTGGCTCCTTCCCTGGCTGACTGCCCCGGTCATGGCCAGCCTTTCCCGACTGGGCGCCGGGCCCCGCCCACAGCCCCCTGACTGCCCGCAGCCCCCCCCCACCCCGACCAGGCCCCGGGCCGCACCTGCATGTTGTTCCAGGCTGCCTCCCCACGGCCCCGCAAGCAGCTCTCCAGCCTCAGCGGCGAGCCCAGGGCACCGTGCTTGGTGTCGGCACACAGCCCCGTGCCCACGTTGCGGATCTGGGTGGGAAGAGGGAGAGTCCAGTGAGGCACCTGCAGAGATCCCGGGGCCTGCTGGGGTGGGGCAGCAGAGCGCGGACTGTCCGGAGGTGGCCGGGCCCGGGCCTCTGCGGCAGTGTCCATCCCGGAGCAGGACCCGGGAGCTACTGTGTCCGGGCAGGCAGGCTCCGTGGCCTGGGGCCGGGGCCCGGAGAGGGTGTTCGCAGGACTCCCAGGCCGTGCTGGAGAGTCTGACACGACAGGTCCGGGAATGGGCTGTCCCCTTCCAGGCGGTGCCAGGCCCATCCCTTCAGAGCTGCTGAGTCAAGGCCATGACCTTTGCTGCAGGGCTGGGGACTCTTCCTGCCTCTCATCCTTCACCGGTTAGACAGTGGGGCGGTGGAGGAGGGACCCCGGGCAGGGAAGTGGGCTCAGGGGTGAGCTCGTAAGACCAGCGGGCCGGGCTGGGGCACATGGGGCGGTCACTCAGACAGCGTCCTCCTGGGCTTGCGGGCTGGGGAAGGATGCCGTCCTGCTGCGGGACGGTGACAACCAGCTGCTCTGAGCCCTCCACCCAGACCCAGGGTGCTTCCTGCCAGGGAGGGGGACCGGCGGCAGCCCTACTGGCCTCATTTGGCCTGGGTGTCCTTGGAGACGACTGCTGCCTGGGATCCCAGCCTCACCCCTGCATCCTTCCCTCTCTCTTCCACCCCTTCCCAGACGTCAGAAGGGCCTCATGGTTCTTCTCATGGTTTCTCTTGGGTGCTTCCCAAGAATCTCTTGACATCAAACCCCATCTCAGTGTCTGCTCCTAAGAGGTCTTGAACCAGCACGGGGAGAAAGCCAAGAAGCCACAGAGAGAAGAACTTCCCGTGGGAGATCAATGCCACTCTCCTAGAAGATTCTAGAAGACTTGGGAATGCTCCTGCAGGGTGGCTGGCAGGCAGCGCAGTCAGGAACAGCCCTATTGTGCAGCGTGGATTTGTACATGTCCCACCTGGTGCCAGCCTGGCCCACACCTGCTTCCTCTGGGGACACCCTGACTTTCTCTGGGGACACCCCCTGGGGCTGGGTGTCCTCTCACCCTGACCCCCGGAGAAGGACCCCAGGAGACATGACTCCTGGGAAACCTGCTGGCTCTGCAGGGGTCGGGGTGTGCTTGCCGTGGGCTCGGCCGCACAGGCACCAGCGTCCTGCCCCCGGTGGCACCAGGTAGCAGCGCAGAAGGGGGCAGCGTCGGCTGGCGTGTGCGGGCGCTCACCTTTCCCCACTTAGAAAACTAAATAGCAAATGAAATATCCCACCTCGATGGGACTAGGGGTGGCGGGAGGGGGTCTGCGTTCTGGGCCCTCGGAGACCTCCCCCCAGCTCTGAACAGGGGTCCCACCTCTCCTGACTCCGCCTCTGGCCTGACTCACCTCCCCCCAGGCCGCAGCCGGAGGCTCCACGGGTGGGTAGAACTTGGGCAGGTCCCAGGCAATCTTGGTCATGAACCACCTGAAGCTCCTGCAGCTGAGGCTGGCGCGGAGCTGCTTCTGGGCCGCCACGTCGCCCGCGGAGAGGTGGCGGTACTCGGGCCGGCGCTGGTAGATGAACTCCGCGTACTCGTCCATCCACACCTCCGCCACGCGCTTGAGGTTCTGCGGCAGCGGCGGGCGCGGTCAGGCCTCCCGGGGTAGGCCAGGGTGCCGGGGCGGGGCCAAGGCCAACCTGCACCCCGGGCCCCGGCCAGCCCCACGCTCTCAGGCCTGGCGTGTTTCTCTCCACACTTACACTCGCTCTAGAGAGTCTGATCTGACGGCCGGGACCACCCGGTGGCTCTGCCCGCTGGTCCTCCACCCTCTTTCCTAGCAGTGGCTCCCCCTCCCCCAACTTCCCTGGAGGGAGGAGGGAGTGGGGGAGAGAGGTGGGGAACAGGGGGGAAATGGGGGGAGAAGGGAGGAGCCTCTGCAGACTCCGTGGCTGCGGGGGCGGGGGGGGGGGGGCCTTGGCCCCTATAGGGCGCTGCGCCTCCCTTCTGCCACGGGGTCTGGGCTGGGCCGGCCGGGTCCTGCGGGCCGGCGCCGGCCATGACCCTCCAGCTCCCGTGCCTCCCACTTGCGGTGGCCAGTCAGGTGCGGGGCAGCCAGGGGCTCCGCAGGGAGGGGCTCCATGAGGCTGGGCAGGGGCAGTGGAGGGCAGGAGGGTCCGCCAGGCACAGCCCACAGCTCTGGCTGGACAAGCCCCCCCGCCCCGGGGCTCTCCCTGCCCCTCTCGGTTTTGCTTTGTGACCGCCTTGATCTCTTTCCTGAGACACTTCACGTTCTAACACTCACTAGCAAGGGTCGGCGATAAACAGGAACAAAGCAAAGCAGCTGCCTCTCTATCCAGCATGCACCTGCGGCTGTGGGTGGTTTAAGGCCGGCCCCGAGGGGCCGCTGGGCTCTGGGTGGGGGGAGGGTTCCGTGCCAGGGCCCGCAGGCGCCGTCCCAGCGGGCACCCCGGCCTGTCCTGTCCCACCGTGAGGTCACAGGCTGCAGGTCATCCACACCCCGACCCCACTGCAATCCACACACGGTGTTCGAGGTCCACCCAGGGGCACCTTGTCTCCACTCTCTGGGCCCAGCCAGGCGGGAGAATGAGCTTCCTTTCAACAAGGGGGACGCACGGCCCGGAGGCTTAGCCCCCGCGCCCCCCTAGGCTAAATGCTATGCTCCGTTATGCTGGGTTTCACCTGGAGAGGGGTGTGGGGCACGTCTCACACCTGGGGGGTCGCTCTGCCTGGGGTTCTGCGTCCCCCAGCCCCCCCGAGCCCCTCCTTACCCGAGCCAGGCTGACTCCGGCAGGGACCTTGTAGGGCACGTACTTCCTGTAGATGTGGCCCACCCTGGAGCAGGGGATGTCCTCCATGCGGCCCCCGCACATCCACACCTGCAGCGGGGCGAGAGGGAGATGTGGCGCCCTGCCAAGGCTCCGGGTCTGCCGGGGGCAGGGGGAGGCTCCAGTCCCACCCTCAGAGCCAGGGGCGTGGCACAGACAGCTGGGCCCTCGCTGGCACCGCCAGGCCAGGCTGCGTGGACCCTCTTCCGGAAACCCGGAGCTCCGGCCACAGGAGGCAAACTCAGGCCCCGCTCCAGGAGCTGCTCGTGGAGGGCCGGGGCCGGGGCGGAGCGGGACAGGAAGCCTGGCCCCAGACCACGCAAGGGGCTCAGGCGGCCCCACTCCGCGCGCCCTGACCTGGGTCAGAGTTCGGGGTCTTATGGGCTGCAAGCGCCCCCCCCACCAACCGTCTCTGGGCTGGGTGCTGAGTGGGCTCGCTGCAGCCCGACCCACATCGCCTCCAGCCTGGCCTCGCAGGGCCCTGGCTGGGCTGACGCCGCTGTGAAATTCTAACCAGGCCGGCTGGCACGGACGCCCCACGGAGCAGGTGGCCCAGCAGACCCTCCTCGGGGCTCTGGGTCCACGTCCTGCCTCCGTCCCCCAGCATGCCTTCGACTTAGACCACGGTGCTCCATTTCCTCGGTTTCCCCAGCGGCAGGGGGTCAGCCCAGTGGGCCTGGGGTGGACGCTGACCACAGTGTGACCTGGGTGCGGGCTGACTCCTTTGCACAGCCAGGGCCATTTCCGGGGCCCCCCGCACGCTCCGCCAGGGCAGCCGGGCCCTGGTCACAGGTGGGGGGGTGGCTGGCCTCCTGGCACCTGTCCCCCACCCGTTCCCTGTCAAATGTGTCCCGGGGCCAACCGCGTCACCCCTGTAAAACACCGTCCTTGCAAAACAGCATCACTGGGCTGAGCGGTGCCCCCCAGGGCTGCTTCTGTCTAGGTGGGGTCTTTTGCAGGCGCAGTTGCTGTTTAAAGGTCAAACTGCAGAGCCAGCCCCAGCCGCTGGCGCCTGCACAGGCCAAAGAGGGGCACAAACGCGTAAGGAAGGGCCGGCTCGGGCCCGTCCGGCCGCAGGCACAGACCACGCCTCTCCCCGCCGTGGGATGGAGCCTTGGGCCACAGCGTCCTTTTCTCCACAGCTTCTCGAGCAAACAGAAAAGTAAAGTTGGGGTGCAGTCACCAGAAACCCCACCGCAGAGATGACGGTCACAGGGTGGTGCCTCCACCTCGCGGCCTGGACCCCTGCGCGCGGCCGCGTGTCGTGAGGACCCCGGGCAGCCCTGTGGAGGCTCCGGCAAACCTCTCTACAGCAGGCCCCCTGCTCCACCGGCTGGACCCTCGTGACAGACCCCGGCCCGGCTGCTCCTTGTCCCCTGAGCCACCCCAGCCCCTGGCCCATGAGTGCTGATCCCAGGTGCTGACCGCTGGCTGAGGATGACTGTCCCGGGGCCGGCGAGGGACACCTGGAGCGGCTGCTTGAGGTGAGGCTTCAGTGCCGGGGAGGGGCGAGGCACACCCAGAGCTGCGGGTGAGTGCCGGGGTGGGAGAGCAGCCCTGGGCGGGGCCAGGATGGCAGTGGCCTGAGCAGGGGGCGTGATGGGGGGGCGGGCAGAGGGTCTCCAGGACAGACTAAAAATTCTTCACCAAAAGCCTTCCCTGGGGAGAAGATGCGGTGCGACTCCTATTTTTCGCTGACAACTGCCCTGCAGGGGTGGGCCTGGGGTGGGCAGGCCTCCGTGTGGTCTGGTCTGGCGGGCGGGGGTGAGGGTGGACGCAGCAGGGTGTGGCCCCATTCGGGCACCGAGTGGGTCGTCTCCCCGTCCTGGGAAGGCTCCCGGGCTCCGGGCTGGGCTTTCCACCCAGATTCATCGAGGCTCTTCCCCTGTCTCCTGCGGCAGGTCTGTTTGCTCTCCCCCGCCGCCACCCACCCCAGACCGGCCCCGGATGCCGGGGCGGCAATTTGTGGAAGTGCTGTCTGGAGAAATGCAATTGTGTTCTGATCTTCGGGGAGAGGAAGAAACGGAGCCAGTCAATAGAACAGAACGCTGGGCTCGAGATAATGGGCTCCTGATGGATTCACGTCAAGGCCAGGCCGAGAGGTTTATTTTCAAAGCAGGCGACATCGATCAGGCGCGGCAGCCAGCGGCGTGTCCTCCTTCGTCCCAAGTCCTGACGCGGGGTGCTGCTCTGGTGGCGGCGGGCTGCGGGCCGCCCGGCGGGCAGGCGATGGCGCAGGGCAGGTGCACCCACTGAGCTATTTCTGTTGGCTCCTGGCAGCCGACCAGGCCGGCGTCCGGCTCCCCGACTCCCCACTAAACTCGCATCACCGCCCTGGACAGGTACCAACAGTCCAGTGGACTCACCCTGGGGACTTCGGCAGGAAGGATGGGAAACTCTCTCACTGGGTTGTGGGGTGTCTGCCCGAGGGGGAGGCCACCCCGGGGAGAGGGGCAGGAGCCTGCAAGGGCCCGGGCAGCCCTGGCCCAGCCCGGGGTCTACTCTGCAGCCCCCAGGGCCTTCCTGCTTAAATGGAGGACTAAGAATTTGGCCGCCTGTTGCCCAGAGCCCGGACTAGTGCAGAGGGGGTAAGAGAGGGGCAGGGGTGCCAAGCAGTGGGCGAGGCCCAGGTGGGTGGACCAGGTTGGGGGTCACAGATTTCAAGCTGCCAAGTGGGGAAGAACTTGGGTAACAGCTCAGCTGGCTGTGGGCAGGGCGGGGGAAGGGGGAGCCAACAACTCTGGGATTAATTTCTGAGCCTCTGGAACATCTTTCTGGGGCTTTGCCATCAGGATAGGCGGCCTAGCGTGGGGCTGGAGCCAAATCATTAATTCACCAGCCTGGACTCATGGATCAATTTATCTTAATTTCTGCAAATACACTCGTGCCTTCGAGACCAGACTCCTTTCTCCAGCCCCAAGAGGAGGAGGGTCTTAGAGAGGAGCTGGAGGGGCTGGGCTGAAATGGCGCACCTGGCAGCTGGGGGGGCTCCTGTGTCCTCAGGGCGGGGGGGTCAGTGGGGGCTCTGCCCAGGCCCAGGGCCCAGGCACGGGCAGGTGGCCCTTGTGGGCTCAGAGCCAGGAGAGAAGGAGCCGGCGCCTTCTCTCCCCATCGGGAGGAAGGACACGCTTGATCCGAGCCAGGAGCCAGCTCTGTCCCTCCCTCGAGAGGCTTCCAAGGCTCCTCCTCGCCAAGGCTCCCGTGGACCAGGGGTGTGCTGCCAGTCTAATGGGCAGTCGGGGGGGTCCCGACCGCTCCTGGGCCCAGCGGTCCTTCCTGCTGGACCCGATGGGCATCATCAGACGGGTCTTTGAAACACGCAGAGTGAAATCATCTGGGTTTAGAAACGCCCCTGTGCGAGTCCTCTCCGTCTACTCCGCGGAGGCGGCTCTGCGGGGCGTCTCGGGCAGGGCGCGGCGGGACCTGGCTGGTGGCGCACTTGGGGGCGCTGCCCGGGAGTCTCACGAGTGAAGCTTGTGTCGCTGATGGACCGGGGAGCAGTGAAGTAAGAAGCCCTCTAACTCCGGCTCTGCCATTTCAGGGGACCCCTCAGGTGTGACATCTGGGGAACGAGGTCGCCTGGGCCGTGCGCCCACACCAGCCAAATGCCAAGCCGGCCCCGGCAGGCACGCTGGCTGCCGTCACACTCCCCACACTCGGGGCTGGCTGGGGGCCTGTTCGCTGCCCCGACAGCCAGCAAGGAATTCACTGCAGGGGGCGGCAGAGCACCCTGGGGTCCTGACACCCGCGCCTGCCCGAGGCGGCGGTGGAGATGACAGGAGGCGTCCTGCCAGTGCTCCCGGGCCCCCCGCCCAGCGGCCAGGTCAGCGGGGCGGTCGGCAGGTCTGGCCTCAGGGACGGGTCTTCTTATTTCCAGCCTGGCAGGGCCTGGTCTGGCCCCACTGGCCCCACGCTTTCCAGGGGTGTCGGGTGTCCTGGGGCCCAGCTGGCCGCCCCTGTGGACACACCGATGCTGGCGGCTGCATCTGCCATGACCAGGGGAGCCTGTGCCCTCACAGCTGTTCAATATTTCATCACCCCAGTATCAGTGTCTGGCCCCTCGAGGGGGCTGCTCCCCCGTGAGACACAACTCAGCACTCCGGACATGAGCGCTTCAAACCCAAACACTGTTTCTGCAGAATTCGGGGCGGTTATTTCCTTGGTCAACGACAATCATCGCCTCACTGCACCCCCAGTTTGAAGCTGCTCCACCCACGCTCGCTGAACCCCATGCCACAAGCCTGCCCTGACCCTCTCCACACCCCGTGAGGACTAAAGTGTCATGGGTCCCGGTCTGGTCACGCGCTGGCGGGAGGCGCAGTACGGAAGGCCCAGGCCTGCCGGCTGCACTGAGTCTCAGCCGGTGAGTGATGTTCCCGATGCCAGTCGCTGTCCCACTGGGGCTCAGGGCTGGGCCAAGGGAAGATGCGGGTCCCCTGGGGGACGGGGAGCTGCCTTAGCCAGGGATCGGGGAGGCCTGGCCCAGCAGGGGGGCCCAGGACAAGCCGAACAGTCCCAAAGATGGACCTGCCTCTGGCTTCATGGCATCCCACCGACGAGGGTGGCTAACCAGTGACCACCACCTCCTCCTGGCCACCATCCGCAGCCCCCACGGCGCCTGGGCTAGCGGTGAGCACAATCAAGCGGGCGCAGGAGGGGCGCCTGGGAGGGGTGCCAGGGCACTCAGGCGGCCAGCCCAGGGAGCCTCCTGGGTGGCGATGCCACGGCCTGTGTGTTTTGTGTGACCCCCCCAGCCCCCGAGACCATCGACGCCAGCAGCTGAAGGGGGTGGACGTGAGCCCAGCCCCAGGCTGCTGGGGGCAGCCCACTGCTCTGTGCGCACTGAGGGCCCCGGAGCCCCAGACCCTGCCCGGGGAGGAGGGAGGGGCCACCAGGCGGCCAGAGCAGGCCCAGAGCAGGGCTTACCTTGAAGGAGAGCTCGTACTGCTCCCCGCCCCAGATCTCCAGGCCCGGGTCGTACCCGCCCAGCTCCCAGAACCACTTCCGGTCCACGGAGAACAGGCCGCCGGCCATCACGGGAGACCTGCCAGGAAGAGGGGGTTGGGGTGGGCAGGCCGGCCACGGCCCCGCTGTCCAGGGTGGGCGGACACCGCCAGGCCAAGCAGTTTGGGGCCCAGCCAGGAGGCCCAGGCCGGCTTCTCTCTCTTACAGGCTCAGAGACGCTATACGGGCCAGAGCCGTGTTCCAGGGAGAATGCCTGGGGGTGGGGGGGCATCTGCCCAGCTCCTGCCTGGACACGGGCCCGGGGGGCGGCTGGGCTGTTGGCACTTACTCAAAGGGGTCGCTGGGATCAGCCTTCTGCAGCTCTGGGGGGACGGGGATCCGCTTGTAGTACATCTCCCAGTCAAAGGCCCCCCGCATGGCGTCCCCCGCCTGCGTCTCGTACCGGAAGTCGTCGTGGTCAATGACATCAATCATGGGGCACACGATGGTCTTTCGGTTCCGGGAGATGCGGTCTGCGGGTCCAGGTGTGTGAGGGGCGGGAGGCAGGAGCTGCGTGCTCCCTGGGGACACCCCAGGCCATCCCAAACCCACCCCAGGCCCAGCCCAGGGACACCCCAAGCCCAGCCCAGGGACACCCCAGGCCCAGCCCAGGCCCACCGGGGATACAGGACCAGGGCTGCAGCCCCTGTTCCCCTGTGGCCGGGAAGGACTCTGCCCTCCAGGACAGGATGCCGCCAGGTCTCGGGGAGGCTCTCCCCAGGCTCTGAACGATGCCTGTGCACTTCTGCAGGGAAGGTCTGAGAAGGGCCCCCCTTCCTGAGCGCTCACCGCCGTGCAGGACCTTGGCCCCCGGTGGGCCGGGCTGACCCAGTGCTGTGCGAGAGGACTGTGGGGGCTGAGGTCCCCCACGGGCATGCACTGGGGCTGGGCTGGTTTTGCCAGCTGACAGCAGTAGACCTGGCGCGAGGCTGCTGATGCCCAAGCCTTGGGTTCCTGGCTGGCGGGTGGTGGCCCGGTCTACCTTGGGGCGGCCCATCTGGGGTCAGCAGCGGGGGAGGGGGAGCTGCTCGCAGCGCATCTCCCAGCCGAGGGCAGCCCTTACCAAGCAGGGGGGGCAGCCAGTTGACATTGGCTTCACAGTGGGAGTCCAGGAAGGTGATGACCTCCCCCGTGGCGACCGAGGCCCCCAGCATCCGGGTCCTTATCAGCCCCTCCCGCTTCTTGGTCCGGAGAATCCTCACGCTGGGGAAGAGGGCCATGTAGTCTTCCAGGGGCTTCTTGAGGTGCTCTGTGAGGGGACAGGGGAGGGGCAGGATGGCGCCGCTGTAGGCGTCCGCTCAGCTCAGCGCTGCTGCAGGAGCCGGCCAGCGCTGTGCGGAGGGAGGAGAGCCGCAGAGACGGGGAAGAGCAAGGCAGGCGGCCTTGATTGTGAACGACACGACGCTGCAAAGGGAACCCAGAAGCCCCCAAAGAAACGGGGCACGCCGCACAGGACGCCAGGACAGCAAATCCATAGACAGGGAAAGGTCTGCAGCCACGTGGCCGGGGCAGGAGAAGCAGGAGCGGCGGGCACGGGGCTGCCTCTGGCGTGACAAAAGCCCCGGGGCTGGACGAGGGGCGGCCACCCAGCGTCCCCACTACCAACTGCTGCCGGGTCACAATCTAACGAGGTTGATTTTACGTCATGTGGCTTTTATCTCGGCAGAAGACTGGGCAGGGCGTGCACAGACGTTGCCCAGGGAAGGTGCACAGGCGGCCGGCGGCCGGGAGCACAGCAGGCGCCGTCAGCGGAGCACACGCCAGCCGCGAGAGCACGCGTCCCGCCCAGGACGGCCGCGGCAGAACCGACGGCGGGGGTCGCTAGGCCAGTGGAGACACGGAGCCCCCCTGCCCCCGCCGTGGGGAGGCCACGTGGGCACCGCTTTGGAGAACAGCCCGGCGCCCCCAACAGTTAAGCGGTCACCACACGGCCCAGAGAGGGTGTCCACCCAGAAACCTGGGCACGAGCTCCGAGCGACATTGCTAACGGCCTCCAAGAGGACACCATCCAAACGCCCAGCAGCCGACGGTGGACAGGCAGAGAGCAGTGGCCCTGTCGGGCTGGGCAGGAACGCGTCTCACCAAGGGGGTGCCGGGGCAGAGAATCTCCTGGAGACCAGCTCCCGCCTGAGGCTGTTTGTAGGAACTTTCTGGAAAGCCAAGCTAGAGACAGGTGTTGGCCTGGGGTTGTGTTGGCACCCGGGGGTGGACAGCAGAGAGGCACACCAGGGGCATTTGGGAGGCGATGGAAATATCCTAAAGCTGGATTATGGCGGACACCCTCACCCCTGTACAGACTTAAAAACTCACTGAATTGCAGATCCTCAGTGGGTGCTTTTCATGGTTCGCATGTTATACCTCAGCAATACTGTTAATTTTAAAATAAAATCAACTGTATTTCTAGAAACTGGCTCAGCAAATCAGACCCTACAATAAAAATGGCTTTTGTAACACTGTCTTATATGCAACGCTCCAAATAAATGGAGAGATAAATCGCATCTGGAAATGGAAAGGCTCCACATTGTGAAGAAGCATTTCTTTCCAGACAGATCTATAGACTCCCTCCAATCCCAATAAATGCGCAGTGGACTTTGTGGGTCTAACATTTCTATGGAAATGCCAAGGACTAGAATGATCCAGACAATCTCAAGAAGGAATAACAAACTGGAGGACTCTCGCGGATCACACAGCTTGCTCTCAAGTGCCCGTGACCCGGACAGGGTGAGCCCGCGGACAGCGCAGGGCGCGGCCGGCAGGACTGGCCCCGGAGGCCAGGGTGGCCGCTGCTCTCAGGTCTGGGACACCGAGGGAAAAGCATTCACTGCACGAAAAACATCACCCAACCTCTGCCTCGTACGGCACACAGAGCACTGCTTCAGGTGCACGCGGACGCCGTGAAGCCTGACGGCAGAGCTGTGAGGCCTCTTAAGAAAACCAGGAGGTGGCAGGCCTGGGGGATGCCCTCACGCCTACGCAGCCTGATGCCCGGCACCCACGGGTGCTGACACACCGCGGGCCGGGCAGGTTAACTGTTGATTTGGGCAAAAGAAATGAGAATTTTGGAGCCTTCGGTATCTCTGACCTGCCTTTAGTGCCAGTCAAGGGGCGGGCACCCGGGCAGGCCAGCGGGCGGGGAGGCAGCATCTAGGCCCCCAGCCCCATGCATCTCCCCTTCCAGCCCCCACTTCTCACCCCCTGGGAGTCCCTAATCCCAGCTGTATGTGCCCCCAGCTCACCCTTCCGAGTGCTTTCTACGTCAACATGGTGTCACATCTGGGCAAGGCGGCCCGGGGGGAAGCCAGGCCGCAGGTGGGGCTGTCAAGGCTGGCGGGCGAGAAGGAGCCGGGTACCCAGAGTTCCTCATGTGCACCTTTTTTAGGGCTAGGAGGGAAAAGGGCAGCGGCAGAGTCCTCGGCAGGCCCGCGCAGTCAGGTGCCAACCCTGCCAGCCATGCTGCTACCGCTGTGGGCCTCAGGCCAGGAGCTGCTGCCTGGCCAGCAAGGAAGCCCCAAGGACCAAGGACAGTCCTGGCCAGAACACTTCGAATTCCATTTCTTCTACATCATAGAGGCCAGCCTGTCCAAAGTAGCCCTTCTCATGTCCAGGGGTCTCATTTAGGAAGAAAAATGGCCTTTTCAGAAACATGGGCTGCTGGGCAGAGGCACCAACACCTCACCAGAGCTTCTGTCCGACATGCAGAGATTACAGGATGTTGGGGGGTCCTGGCTGCCCCGCTCAGCGCCGTCCATGCCACATGAAGTGAAGTGCCGCACACACAGGGCCGCCCCTCCTGAGCCCTGAATTCTGCAGCACCACCCCAGCTCAGGGGAGGGGGCCCATGGATGCCGGCGCCCCCACGGGAGCAGAGGGGCCACTGGCTCCCTGGCCAGGCTACTGAGGGCAGGACGGAAACTCACGAACGCCCTGGGGCCCCCGGGGCGTGAGCTCGGGGACGCCATCAGGGGACGCAGAGCCGCAGATTTTATGGGAATTTCCCGTCTCCTCCGTATTGGCAGCTCAATCCACTTTCAAACATTATTTTGAAAGCCAAACGGGCAGGTCTGAGGGGCTCTACGCAGACCCCGGAAAGGATCGTAAACTCTTCAAAGCCAGGACTTTATGGCCGAGAGCAGAGGCGGCGACGTGCCGGCTGGAGAGCCCCGAGACCAAAGGGGTTTAATGGATCAGAAAAAAGGAGACAATAAAAGCCACCTGTGCTCGCACCCACAGCCCAGACTCCCACGTGCTCATGCGCGGGTCTGCAGCTGTGCCCCCGCCCCGCCCGCACGCGTGCTGCCCGCACCTCTGCCAGCGCCGCCCTCACACCCGCCCCCGGCCAGCGCCTCCGGCCGGGCTGAGCCAGCGTCCTCAAATTTAAGCGCAAACAGTCCCCTTGAGGGAGAAAAAGGCTCGTAAACACAGCCAGCTGTGGGTTTTCCACGGCAAGGGGTGTCTTTCCAGTGGCTAAAGTAATGTTTTAAAAGGTTAAAAATCAAAATGAAAAGGGAGATTAAAAAATTCCTGGCTAATTCTTGCAGCTACTGGACCCTAGCTGGACCCTAGTTTGAGGCACACTGGGCCGAGGACATCCCCGGGGGCCCTGGGGTTGGACCAGGGTCTCTTGCCTTGGGGGGGGGGGGGAGGATTGGGAGGCCTGGGGAGAAGCAAGGGGAGCGGATACAGGGGGGTGGGGGGGGCGGTGGCCAGCATGGGGGTGGGGGGGTGGGGTGGGGGTAGGGCCAGGATGATTCACAGGAGTAAGAGGCTCCTGGCTCAGCCTCAGGGAGCACCACCAGAAAGACCCCGGCCACCTGCTGGAATGAGCCCTCCGCACCCCCCACCCCCAGGTGCAGGGAGGAGGGGGTGGCGGCTCTCCTGGTGGGGGGCAGGCCAGGATGCTGCCCTTCCTACAGCTTCCTCCCCCACTGAACTCCTCACCTGGCCCCGCCCACGCCCCATCCCCAAACGGAGGGGAGCAGGGGAGCACTGTCACCAATTGCGCCATGGCCTCAAGTTCACAGGCAGCCCAGCCTTCACCCTGAGATAAGTGCCTTCCTGGGGGGACGCAGCCTATTTGCCCAGGACCCCAAAGCTGTCTGAATGTGGGGGCCAGGAGCGGCGGAGCAGCAGGAACAGGGAACCAAGGCCTCTGGGATTCTCACGTCCTCTCCGGGGATGCACTCTGTGAAGCCGCCTGCACCCCCAGCTCCCCCACAGTGCAGGGAGCCCCTCCTCAGCAGAGCCCCCAGCAGAGCCCACCCTTGGAGAAGCTCCATTCGGGACAGGACAGGCCGCGTAAAGCGTTCTCCCGAGGCAGCCAGGAATTTCTTCTTGAAACAAGAACAACGGTTGTTTGGCCAGAGAATGCAGCCGAAGAATGTGGCAGCCATGTGGGAGGTGGGCGCCCGGGTGGGGTTCTGGGGCTCTGTGCTGACCACAGAAGAGGGGTCCTGGCTTCCGCCCCAGCCCTCCCCCCACCCCCCAGCTCACCAGGGCTTCGGAAGCGTCGCCCTGACCTCGCCTTTTGGCACCCGGAGGACAGACGCGCGCGTTGCAGGTCACGCATGGCACCTGCCCTCTTTGAGATGCTCATGTTCCTGTGTGCTGGGGTGTCCACGTGGCCTTTGTCACTGGGGACCCTGGGCAGAGCGGACATTCAAGGTGGGGGCATGACGGTCCAGGCTGGCTGTGTCTGGTAACGGGGGAGCAATCTCCTGGGCAGTGGCCTTGGGCACAGATGGGGTGCACGCGTGCAAACACTCCTGGTCCCCAGTTGAGGCGAGGAGGGACGAGGTGGTGCTGGGAGCCAGGAAGACGGTCCCTGGCTCTGGACGGCCTCGCAGTCCCAGCCCCCGTGGCCCAGGGTCCCCTGAGCGGCTGGAGAGGCCGCGGCTCCCGCAGGCTTAAGCAGTGGCGCTCCTCCTAGTTAGCAGCGTCTCAGGAACCAGCAGAGAGCGCCAGGAGAGGCCCTGAGCCTGCGGGTTCCCACCTCCCCAGCCCCCAGGCAGCCCTGATCCAGCCTGTCCCTGTCCAGTGATGCCGGGGGACCCAGCCGCCTGCCTCCAACAGGGCGGGAGGCTTCTTCTCTGCGCCCGCTGCCCAAGCTGACCTCTGGAGGCACCTGCGAGCCCAGAGGGCCCCAGCCCCGGGGCAGCCCCTGCCTCAGACATCCGACGGCTCTGAAACCGACCATGGACCCACGGTGTCCTCCACGCCACACCTGTCCTGCGGCGCAGGTGGATCCCCCGCCCGCCTCGCGCACACATCCACTCACTCACTGTGCCCTGACCACGCGGCCCCAGAGCACAGAGGAGGCCAGCGTGGCTGGCACAGAAAGAGTTGGAGAGAGAGACAGAGGAGAGAGCGGCAGACAGACAGACAGAGGGCGCGTGTCGTTGTCCTTGCCGGGCCCGAGGCCCGCAGTCTGGGCTTCCACCCCAGGAGCAGAGGCTGCCCTGGCTGCAGCACAGAAAACAGAAATCAATGGGTCATTGAGCGAGTGCCCGTTTCTCCTTCCCACTGCAGCCTTTCACTCCGGCCCACCGGCCGAGGGGCGGGGCGGAGGGGAGCAGGGGACAGAAGCAGGGAGAGGGAGAAGGTGCAGCCCGGGCAGAGCCCATCGCGCCCCACTTCCGGTGTGAGACTCGGAGGGCGTCACCCCAGTGCTTGGCGGGCCCGGCTGCCCCAGCCCCTTAGGGCTACAGCTGGGTCTGGCCCGGCGGCCACACTGGGTGGAAGGGGAGCCCCTGTATCTTATTTGGGGGCTCACAGTTCGCCAAACCCCCTGAACAGTGGCTGGACCTGTCCCTCCTCAGCTGCATGCTGACCCGACGCCCCTCCCATAAACCAGCATGGGTGGTGCCCATACCACCACCACCGCCTGCCGCAGGGATCCCCGAGCTCGCCGTGCTGGGCTCCGTCCGACGACTGCACCCGGCCGCCGGCACCTGGCGGAGGCTGGGGCGTCTGCGCAAGGTGGCGGGCTGGGGGCGGCACGAAGCAGACAGATCAAGAGCGAGCGAGTGGCAGGACCAGGGCTGCGGCTGGGACACTGAGGCGCCGCCAGGAGCGGGCTGCAGAGCGGGCACACACCCTGCCAGTGGCTCCCAGCACCCTTGGGCACAGACCCAGCTCTGGGGAGGCGCCAAGCCTGGGGACTGGGTGCTCAGGGAGCACAGAGGCCAGCTCTGGCCCTGCCTCCCCACGAGTCAAGCCCCTGGCTGGCCTCCGAGCGGAGGATGGAGGCGGACAGAGGAGGCGGCGATGCACGCTCTGCAGGGGCGCTCATGCCCGACGCCCGCGAGCACTTATGTGGGATCGTTCGCTTGGGGTCAGAGCCAGGAAAGAAATGAGGGGTTCCACAAGGTGAGAGATGTCAAAGGCGGGGGGCCTCTGATGAGGGGAGCCCGCGTTCAGGATGGGCATGTGACGTGAGTGTGCACACGGGGCCTGCCCCAACACACGCGTGCGCACTCACACCCACCTCACGCACTCAGGAGCGCAGCGTCGCAGGGCCAGGGCAGGCCCCATGGCCTGGAGGGCACGCAGACCCCCTCACTGCTCTGAGGCACCCCTGCAGGGGGGCGCACAGGAGGGGCCTGGGTCCGGCTCCCACCCTGAGAACACTCTGGGGCAGAGAAGCCCTTGGCAGCACTGGCCGGAGAGCGACCCCTTCCCTGACTTCGTTTTTGGCTCCAGTTCTGTCTGGCCGGCCCCGGGCCTGGGGTCAAGACGGCCTGAGCAACCATAGTCCCCAGCCCTGCAGGAGCCACATGGCCAAGGGTGCGCCCCAGGTGGCTCTGAGCCTCGCCCCATGTCTGTGGGGTGGGGTGCGGGTCCCCCTCCACCCCCCTTTCCTGCCTCTGCCAGGAGGCCCCACGTCAAAACACTCGTGGTCCCCACCTGCCCGGCGGAGGGGCTCCGTGTCTTCACTGGAGGAGGCCTCCCTCCTGGCCCCCGCCTGGGCCACAGCCTCCAGCGGCTGCCTGGCCCTGACTCTAGTCGTGCAGCACACGCTTGAGCCCTTGTTCGTCACGTCTCCTGCACTTGTGCTTTTCGGTGTCTGCTGACACAGGCTGGGTGGAGGCAGCGCCCGCCCGGGGCTGCTGTGAGGGCTCGGGGCGTGCATGGGCAGGCCCAGGCCACACACCCTGTCTCGGGCCTCCGGAGGGGGTTGGGGGTGCTGAGGGCAGAGGCCCCAGGCTGCGGCAGGCGCAGAGGGGTGGGCGGGCACGGAGGGGCGGCCGGCGGATCCTACCTCGGTCGCTGAAGTCGTCCACCAGCACGATCTCGGCGACCAGCTCGGGGGGCGAGCGGTTGAGCACGCTGTGCACGGTGCGGAGCAGGGAGGACCAGCCCTCGTTGTGGAAGGGGATGATGATGCTGGTGTTGGGGAGCGACGCCAGGTAGCGCTTGCTGTTGCAGCTGGAGGGGGACAGGGACAAGGGTCAGTCCTCACTGCCCAGAGCCTGGCCGGCCGGCCGCCCACCTGCCAGTCCTCTCCAGCCCTCGGGCCGTGTGGCGGGGTCCCTCACTGCACCCTGCACCCATCCAGGCAGGTGTAGGGCATGGCGTGTGCATGAAGGGCAGGGGCCCTGACCCGCCTGCTGGGCAGGACCCACGGCCCATCTCAGGCTGGACCTGCTGGGTCGGGAGCTGAGGCTCGAAGGCCTGGTCCCCACAGCCTCAGTGACCAGCCCGCCAGCTTCCAGAGGCCCTGCTCTGCCAGGAGGCTGAGGCCCCACCTGCTCTATGCCCCTCACGACGCTCACGACACCGTCTCCCAAGCGGCTGGGGACGCTGGTCACAGACACAGCAGCCCCGGGTCAGGCCCACGAGTAGGAAGTGGGTGTGTGAGGTGCGAGTGTGATCTTGCAGGCTGAGCACCAGCCCCGGGCCCTGCCCTGCAGCTCAGAGCCTGCTTCCCTCCTCCCAGCCAGCGGCCCCAGGGCAGAGGCGCACTCACTTCGGGTGCCGGATGTCGGGGAGCGAGCGGTTCAGGGAGATCTTGTCGCTGACATGGATGTTGAATCCGTTCTCACGGTAGGCCTGGTCCACGCGGTCGGCGTCGGTCATTGGGTAAGGCCGCCCCTGCTCTCCGTGTCCTGGCGGGGCAGAGTCAGGGCGGTGGCTGGGTGTGTCTGGGGTGGAAACCACCATGAAGCCACAGAGATAAACCCCATGCTCGGGACAGTGATGTGGGGGTTGTGGGGGGCCAGCACAGCCCCCCATGCCTGCCCCTGCAGACCCCGTCCCCACAGCAGCCCCGCAGGCTGCAGAGGATACGAGACCCTCGGGCCTCGGGGGACACAGCACCAGCTCCCACTCTTTGGGCAGCCCACACCAGCTCTGTAGTGGGTCCTGCAGTGCCACCGCGGCCAGGCCCTAGACAGAGCTGACCACCTGGGCCGGGCCATGTCCTCGCAGCGGCCTACCCTCTGCTGTCTCGCTGGGCCACGTGTGAGAGGACACACACGCGTGCACACACATCCGCACATGCACATGCCTGCCCGCACGCTCGCTCACATGCGCACGAGCACGCCGCCGTGCTGCCCCTTCTCCGTACCCACGCGCTGAGCGTCCCTCTGGATGGCTTCCTTGTCATGCCAGTCCCTCAGCTTCTGTCCATGCCCCAAGGTGAAAACCCTCTTCTGCTGACTGTGTGAGCCCTGGAGAGACAGACAAAAGCGGTGAAGAGAAGGGGATCGTCTTGTGGCAGAGACACAGCCGGGGGCTCAGGCTCACAGCGACCTCCCTGCCCACCTGTGCCAGCCAAGTGCCGGTGCCCCCTGTCTTGCCTCCAGGGTGGCTGTGAATCTGGGCGACGCCGGCGGGCCCAGGGCGGGCAGCCAAGGCCCCTGAGAGTGGCCCCTCCCAGGCCTGGGGGAGGAGACTGCCAGCCAGAGCAGGCGCACCCGGACCCCCAGGATCAGGGTTGCTGCACTGTGCCACAGGGGCCGGGGGGCCACCCCAAAGAGAGCCCCTGGGGAATGAACAGACCCCCGCGAAGGGTCATGTTGGGGCCTGGCCAGGGCAGCAACCGCAGTCTGAACAAGCCTGCGGGCCCGGCTGCCAATTTGCGGAAAACGAAAAGATTGTTCTCAAAGACGGGGCAGGGGAGAGGAGAAGGCTCGGTTTCCCCCTGCGCTTGGCACGCTCTGCTCGAGAGACAGCGGCACGTATGCCAGACGCGGGCCGGCCTCAGCCCAGGTGTGCAGTGGAATGAGAGGACAGCGCGTGGCCTGCTCGGCTGCCCAGCGAGCGGCTCCACACGGAGAGCAGGACACGGAGCCAGGCAAGGCGAGCCGAGAGCAGTGCGGGGTGGGGGGTGGTCCCGACGCCTGGATGTGGAAGCCACGTCTGGGGCAGACGAGAAGGTGTCTGAGCAAGGACTGGCACTGGGATGGAGCTCCCCCACCCCACGCTCCTTCCTCACCCCAACCCCTTCTCCTTCCTAGCAGAGCAGCGAGTCTGCCCGCCGTGCACCCTGCAGGCTCCTGCGTCTGCGCGACGCATCCGGGGCTGCAGCAGCCGGCTTGGGCCACCGAGTGTGGTGCGGCAGGAAGACGGATTTCAGGGAAGGTGGCTCAGCTGCTGAGTTAACTAACCCCACAGCCACCCTTCCACTGGCTCCTTGTTACTCGAGACAACAAATCTCCGCGTCCCGCCAACGAGCTGGGTCTCCCACGACGCAGCGGACATCGTAAGTGGGCGCTCAGGCCCCACCTGGAGCTAGTCGGAGACCATCCAGAGGCCTCCTGGCCTCTCAGTTGCCCTGAATGGCTCAAGTTCCACAGAAGGTTCTGGAAGCCATCTTAGGTTTACCACTAAATCACACAGGTCTAGCTGGGGTCGAGCTCTTAGAAGGGTTGATCCCAGGGAAGGGTTGATCTCAGGGAGGAAAATAAAAAGGAAATAAAACCGAACAGTTGCCTGCAGAGAAGACCCGCTGCGCGTGACTGATTCCTGGGTAATCTCGATGTGTCTCCCCGGAGCTTCTCCGTCAGACCCCTGGCCGGGGCGGAGAGGCATGGCAGAGTGTGGTCAGGACACGGGTGCTCTGGGGCTCGAGGGAGCTCTTCCTCTCTTCTCCAACGGCCACCCCAGGCCACACACGCACATATGTGCAACAGGCACACCCACCCCCCGGGGGCAGCGGGCGAGGACACGGGCCTCTGCAGGGAGCCACAGACCTGGTCTGGAGGCAGCCTGTCCATGCCCTGAGGTGTCCTGTAAGCTGCGGGGCCTCCTGCCACCCTCCCGAGCAGCTGCTCAGCCCCGCGACACCTCCTCCCGCAAGGCCAGTGACCGAGCACCCGGCTAACGGGCCTGAACTCAGCACGCTGTGTGGGGAGGTGGGGTGCAGGAGGCGCGCTCCCCCCACCGCTTGAGTCCTCGAGGTGCCCAAGGAAGTGCCCTGGGGGGCCTCCTGCCCGGGGCAGGGGCAGGGGGAGGCAGGTGGGCAGGGCGGGCAGGGCGGGCAGGGGTCTGGAGCCAGCGGTCCAGTCTCCCATTCAGCAGTCTCTCCTCTCCGGGGAGGGCGGCGAGCTGCCGTCACGCCAGGGAGCCAGAAGCCCAGGTCGGGGCACCCGGAGCGGCGGGAGGCGTGTGCCTGGCCGCAGGAGAGGCCCACCCGCTCCACAGTGACGGCCGCTCTCGCTCGGTGCAACTGAGATGGAAAGGAGATGGTTGACATGGTTTGTGGTAAGGCCAGTCTGGGTCTCCTGGTGTCCCCCACAGTCCTCCCTGTGGCCCCAGCAGCGAGCTTTGCGAAGAGGCCCTAACCCTGGTAAGGTGCAGGGGGAGGAGGCACACTCAAGCCATTTTACTTTCTGGAGACAAACTTCTGCCTGAAATAGATTAATCCAACCTGTATATTAATGTGGATACTAACTAATGATTAAAAAAATGCTTTCAAGGGCCTCCCCTGATGGCGCAGCGGTTGAGCGCTGGGCTGTGAAGCTGCCCGCAGCCTCTGTAGCACCGGTTCAATCCCCGGCCGCCGGCGAGGGTCCCACATGGCGCGCAGACCTCTCCTGCCGCCCGCTGCTCCCCCCAGCAGTGTACTTCGGTCCTTCTGGCTGCTCTGCTCCCCGCTCTGGCTCTGGTGAATCCTCTCACCCTCCCGCTTCTGACTGTACCCAGTGCTTGTATAAATAAAATAAATGAATGAATGAATAAATAAATAAATAAATCTTAAAAAAATAAATAAATAAAGCGTGGTGGGTGGGGTGGAGCGGCCTGGCGGCATCACTGAACACAGACTCCGAGGTGGCAGGCGGGGGAACACTGGGTCACATCCTCAAACCCCCAAAGCCCTGGTCCCCAGGAAACAGAGGAATGAACCCAAAACAGGAGGATAAGGGCTGCCCAACGAGGTCCTGGAGAGCACAGCAGGAAAAGGGGGGTAGGGAGGGCCCCCCGAGCTGGGCCCTCCAAGCTGGGGCCTCTGATCTGGGGTCCTCTGAGCTGGGGCCTCCGAGCTGGGGCCTCTGAGCTGGGGCCTCCGAGCTGGGGCCTCTGAGCTGGGGCCTCCGAGCTGGGGCCTCTGAGCTGGGGCCTCTGAGCTGGGGCCTCCGAGCTGGGGCCTCTGAGCTGGGGCCTCTGAGCTGGGGCCTCTGAGCTGGGGCCTCTGAGCTGGGGCCTCTGAGCTGGGGGCCCAGGCCCAGGCGCTGGCCGGGCCTGTGTGGCCCGATTCTGAAGGCAGCCTCCCCGGGCCTGGCCCCACGTGCTCACGCCTGGCCTCCTGCACGAATGAAGGGGAGTGTCTGCCTCACACGCTCGGCTGTGCGGGCTGAGTGAGTCACTCTGCAAAGTGCTTAGCACAGCGTCTGGCAAGGAGTAAACACGCCTTCGTGCCAAGCTGCGTACTACAGACGGGAGAAGGACCCAGCGCCGCTCCTGCCTGGGACACTTGCAGACCCGCTTCCCCGCCCGGAGCAGAAGGGCCGGGGCCACGGCAGGGAGAGCTAACGGTGTCCACCCGCCGGGGTAAAGCCTAGACTCCTACCGGCCGGCCGCCCGCTCTGGTCCCAACCCCTGTCAGCCCTGCACGGTCAAGCCCAGGCAGACCCGCGGGGCCTCCGCTGGGCGCCCAGCCTGCCTCGCCCGCGACTGCCTAAGGGCTGACCCAGCTCTGAAAGGGGGGCCCAGCTCGTAGGGTCCAGCTCAGAGGGCTCTCGGCCCCTACGAGGAGGGAGTCTGGCCTGCTCACAGCTCCCAGAGCTGCCTCCGCTGCCCAGGAGGACGCTTTGCCCAAGCTCCTTACCCCGCGGCCCCAGTGAGGGCCACGTGGGAGCCTGGTCTCTGGGTCTCGGGGTTCCTAGGGCTGGCAGAGCCGCAGAGGGGAGCAGGCCCCAGCCCACGCCTCACACAGCTCCGCCTTCCAGAAGGCCAGAGGCAGCGGGCAGCGGTGCCCCTGCAGAGCCCGGCCTCGCCCCTGCACCGCCCATGCCCCTGGGCGAGGGCTGCAAGGTCGAGGGCCTGACCGAGACCAGAGCCACCAGAGCCCACCTCCCGCAGGGACGCAGGGACCAGCCACCAGCTCTCGGCTGAGCTTCTTGAGCACAGGGGCCGGGCAGGGACCCTTCACCTGCAATTCCCACGCCTCCCTGTGACAGGGCGGCCGGCAAGGCTGCTCGGCCCCACCCCTGGGGCTATGGGGAGCACCGACTACCCGGCCGAGAAGCCCGGGAACAGGCCCCCCAGAGCCAGGGCAGCCCTCCTGGGTCCCACGTCCCTTAGAAAAGCCTCATTCTCATCACAGCCCCCCGGGAAGCAGAGGTCGGGGCTTACGGCCTGGACAGATGAGGAAACTGGGGCTCTGAAGGGCCGAGCGAGTTGTCCAAGGTCGGACTCTCAACGAGAACCCGGCCCTCACCGTCCACCCCCGGGAACAGCCCGTCCTCGCCTCCACCTTCTCGAGTGTTTTTAAAACCGACTTCACGCCCATGTCTGTATGTAAATTTCTGTTTCCCAAGACAAACGAGCTTGGGAATGGGAAGGAAAGCAGGAAAGGAAGCTGGCGCGACTCCCCACTGTGAGCCGGGCACTCGCGGGCATCTGCAAGACAGCAGCAGAGCACAAGTGCTCTCAGGATCAGCAGTCGCGACTACAGACACCCGGGCCCCGAGGGTGAGCGGAGGGAGGGCGGACGGGACACAGGAGGTGGCTGCAGCCTCGCTCTCCTCCCTCCGCGCGGGTGGCGCACCCATGGGTGGCACCTCAAGGGAGCTCCGGGGGCTCAGCCACAGCCCTCGCAGCCCAGGCGCCCCACAGGAAACCCGGCTCACAGCCAGGCAGGAGCTGCAGGGCGGGGTGAGCAGCAGGGGGCCCGGGCCATGGACAGCACACGTCTAATTAAGGGCTTGCGTCCAGAATGTAAGGAACTCTCGAAATTCAATAATTAGAACCCAAACAACCAAACTTTTAAAGACTGGGCCAAGGATCTGAACAGATACAGGGGAACAAGTGGTCTGCAGAACCGATTAGCATGAGAAAGATGTCGACATCGTCAGGCATCACAGAATCAAACACAAATCCAACCACGCGTGGTAATGCCACGCCCCCGTTAGAATGGCTAAAATTTAAAAGCTTGATCACACTAAGTGTTGCCAAGGACGTAGAGAAACTGAAAGTCCCATCCACTGCTGCTGAGTGTCGCAAACGG